GAAAGACCGAGACGAAGAGCGCAGAGGAGAATGAAAGTCAATGTGATGAAATAAGAGATCATCAGCCGGATCCTGCAGTGAGGTGAGTAAAAACAACTTAACCAGCACCAACTTAACCAGTACCAACTTAACCAGTATCAGCTTAACCAGCACCAGTTTAACCAGCACCAGTTTAACCAGTATCAGCTTAACCAGTACCAACTTAACCAGCACCAACTTAACCAGTACCAGCTTAACCAGTACCAATTTAACCAGTACCAGCTTAACATGTACCAGCTTAACCAGCACCAGTTTAACCAGTACCAGCTTAACCAGCACTAACTTAGCCAGTACCAGCTTTACCAGCACCAACTTAACCACTATACCACCTTAACCAGCACCAACTTATCCAGTACCAACTTAACCAGTGCCAGTTTAACCAGCACCAGCTTAACCTGCACCAGCTTAACCATCACCAGTTTAACCCGCACCAGCTTAACCAGTATCAGCTTAACCAGCACCAACTTAACCAGTATCAGCTTAACCAGTACCAATTTAACCAGTGCCAGCTTAACATGTACCATTTTAACAGTACCAGCTTACCAGCACTACTTAGCCAGTACCAGCTTTACCAGCACCAACTTAACCACTATACCCCAACCAGCACCAATTGTCCAGTACCAAATTAACCAGCACAAACATAACCAGTACCAACTTAACCAGCACCATCTTAACCAATAGCAATTTTACCAGTACCATCTTAATAACCACAGATCCTATAATCTGGGCTATAATATTGTTGTGCTGCTGTTTGTTTGATTGTTTAGGCGATCATCTGTTCAGATTGTGGAAGATGCTTCAGTGATCTACAGCAGCATCAAATGAGTGACAGAGACCAGCGAACACAACGCCTGTTCAATCGTTTAAGGAGTGATGGTGATAGGAATGTTGGACCAACTTAACCAGTATAAACTTAACCAGCATAAACTTAACCATTACCAGCACCAACTTAACCAGTATAAACTTAACCATTACCAGCACCAACTTAACCAGTATAAACTTAACCAGCAACAACTTAACCATTACCAGCACCAACTTAACCAGTATAAACTTAACCATTACCAGCACCAACTTAACCAGTATAAACTTTAACCAGCATAAACTTAACCATTACCAGCACCAACTTAACCAGTATAACTTAACCAGCAACAACTTAACCATTACCAGCACCAACCTTAACCAGTATAAACTTAACCAGCAACAACTTAACCATTACCAGCACCAACTTAACCAGTATAAACTTAACCAGCAACAACTTAACCAGCATAAACTTAACCAGCAACAACTTAACCAGCATAAACTTAACCAGCAACAACTTAACCAGTATAAACTTTACCAGCAACAACTTAACCATTACCAGCAGCACCAACTTAACCAGTACCAACCTAACCAGTACAAGCTTAACTAGAGATGTTCCTTCCCGATTCCGATACCTAGACTCAGGGTATCGGCTGATACCGAGTACCGATCCGATACCTGAGTGTGTACAGGATCTATACAGCTGCAATTCATACTAGCACTGTATGAATTGATCAAATTATTATGATGTGCTTCAGACTTATCCCTCAATAAAACATGAACAAATACATACAGTGAACTAGAGTATTTTTTATTATATGAATTACATTTCACAGCAATATATTATTTACTTTAAGTGAAAAAGAACTTAATGCAGCCGCACATCTAATACTGTAAACTGAAAAAGGTATTTTAGATTTACAAAATAACTATATAAAAAAAGTGCAACAAATAAATCTAGGAATCTAAAAAGATTATACATGAATAATATAATCTCTTCATAGGTGAAGATCAATAAACAATTTTGTTAAATAAATGACATTTCAGTTTCGACAGAGGCTGGGAGAATAATAAACTCAATAACTTACATGTTGTTGGTTATGTTTATCGCTCGGCTGTAAATAAAAATATGCAGTTTGTAAGTCTTTTTAGAACGATATTACATTAATAAATAATAAAAGATGTTTTGACTAAAGCTACAAAAAAAATCCAGTGATCTGTACTGCTTATCAATATTGAAATGTATTGTTTTCTATTATGCTGTATTGTGTAGTTTCCTTTTCATGTTTTACTTGTATGTTTTTACAATTATGGCAGAGCTTCAATAAACCTGATCATGAACTCATGCAGTTTCAGGCTGTCGTGTCTCTGTTTCTATTGGTTAAACTGCACTATTAGGACCTCTAGTGGCTGATTGGTGAATTATTGTTCACTGATGTGACGAACAGATATTTGAAATAACGTGCAACTAATTTCCCTCTCGAAACTGTATGATCTTTTCTCTGAATCGACAGATCTGGATCTTAATGTCATATTCAGTCTGATTAAAAGAGGAAAGCGAATTATACTGCCTCTTAAACTGAGTGCTCTGCGAGTTGTGTATAATACAACTATTATAAAAAAAAGAAACCCAGAGTTACATTAATATAATAATACTACAAACACTCTGTTACTACAGCATATAATAAAGTTATTATTTTTATTTTTTGTGCACAAAAAGCATTCTCGTCGCTTGATAAACTTAAGGTTGAGTCGCTGTAGTGACTTGGACTATTTTAACGATGTCTGCCTGTGGAGGAGTGAGACAGCTCTCAGATTTCATCAAAAATATCTTACTTTGTGTTCTGAAGATGAACGAAAGTCTTACGGGGTTGAACAACATCAGGGTGAGTAATTACTGACAGATTTCTTTCATTTTTGGGTGAATATCCCTTTAACATAGAGAGCGGCAGGTTTATTGAAGTCCCTGTAAAGGCAATTCTACAAAAAAGTTCTAAACACATTATAAATGTTACACATGTATTGCTAAAACATATTACAAAGACTGTGAACTGTGAAGTACTGAAATGTGGAGTTAGACCGTTAAACAGTTTTTCACCATTGCTATTTTACGGATTGTTTGGGCGGGGCTAAAACAGGCCTCGATGACGCACTGGAGCCCATGAGCTGCTGGACACGCCCCTATTTGATGACGCACAGAGTCTGATCTCTCCCCTAACACACAATAACACTCCCCGAGCACATTCGCATTCACCGCTCAATCGCGAGTGACTGTCAATACAACTACAGATGAGCCTACAGTTTTCGATGCCTTCGACACAGAAATGCATTGGCTACCTGGATGCGATCATGTACAAAACAGATCGGTATCTTCATTTAAATTCCCCTAAAAACGATCACATCAAGAAGAGGTTTTTAGAGAGCCAACCTTGATGAAGAGCTGAGGATCACCGCCAACACCCGCCTCTGTAGTGATCGTTTTATAAACTTTCCTCAGAGACAACTGGGATTCACTGATGATCCGCTGTTACTGGTGAACGGGGCCGAAACGACTATCTCCCGCCTCAGCGTTCATCCTCCCGTCCCAAAAGCAGTTTCACCTAATATCACCGTCGACAGCTTTCCCGTGAGTGGGCGTGGTTTCAGCGTAGCCAGCGGACACGCCCCCAGCGTTTGAGAACAGAGATAACTGCTCATTTTTTCAAGATTTTGATAGCTTATTTTATGTACTTGCCGGCTTTTTTTATCATTCAAATTTGGCTGGGTGACTAATATCACATTTTACTGTGGTGTGACAAACTCAGAACACATACAGTACTTAATTTTGACTTTACAGAGACTTTAAGCTTGTTTCACTTAACGAACTGACACACATATCCAGTGTCCCACAGGAGTTTTCTTTTCTTTCTTTCTATGTTCACTTATGACGATTGTGCACTCGGTAACCCAGACATTGTGACATTATTTTTCAGTGTATTTGACCGTTTAAGTGTAGCCTGGATGCCAGTCCGAACTCCGCCCACAATATTTTTTGGTCGGGAAGTTCGGGCTGGACTCGATCCATTGAGGAGTAATTATGATCTGGCCAAAAATGAACGGGCCAATCAAATTGCCAGGGCGGGCTTTATACGATGATGGACAGGTGATCTGCAGGGACGTAATCATCATGTTATCAAAGAGCGCTTAACTGTCTTCCCTCAGAGTTGACTGCAGCTGGAGAATTGAGATGTAGATTCTGCTGTCGCGTCTTTTGTAAAATAAATCGACAGCGCATTCATTTTAATAGACAAACAGAAAACTGCAATCAAGGCATTTGTCGATCGGAAAGATATTTTTGCCGTACTTCCTACATGATTCGGGAAAAGTGTAACTTATCAGCTGGCTCTGACGGTCGTTAAGAAGATGGGACGTAATGAAAAGCCTGTGGTCGTTGTGGTTTCTCCTTTGGTCGCACTCATGGAGGAGTAAGTAAAAGAAGTAACACTCGTTATTTAACTTTTAAAATAAGTAAGTTCTGTAGTTGACAACCGTATGCAAAGTAGGCTAGTTGACTTACTGCGTTCCTGATATTGACGGAAATCTGTCTTACTCCCATAACGACGGATAACTTACATACCTTATATATTAGTAAATAAATATATTGTCTCACAATTTTAAATACATGAAAATTGCTTATGTAATATGCAATAGCCTATATGCATTAGCACCGTATAATTCTGTATGTTTTCAAATATACTGTTGAACCATTTATGATAAGATTTAATTTCTTTTCATTGGGGAACCCAAGACAGTTAATATTGTATAACATCGTGTTTTTTTTTATCACTAATTAGTCCAGGATATTGCATGAATGAAGTGAGTGATATTACATGTTTTAAAAAAATAAAAAAAAATAAAAAAAATCATGATATTACATAATATTTAACTGTCTGAAAGATTTTAGCTGTTATGAAAAGATAATATAATTCCATATATATATTTTTTTAATAAATAACCAAAATAACCAAATTATTGTGACACAATAACCAAAGCTGCCCAGCAGAGGGCGACAGACATGCTGTGAAAAAACAACAGCTAAACTTCATGGTTGTCACGTGGTGTTTCAGGCAGGAAGACGAAGACAGATCCAGTTCAGAAAACTCGAAGTATAATCACAAAACTCCAGACAGGCAATGGCAATGAAGGAACAGGTACAACGAGCTGCACAAACGAGATAGAGAAGGGTACACAGCTGATCTAGATGAACTAATAATGACGGTCACCATATGGATAGCGCGAGGAAAACAGGAACTGAAGAAATGCAAAATAAAAGTCCATGCACCAAACACAACGTAATGTTGACAATGATGAAGATGAACAGATAAATACATACTATAAAAAAAAATATTTAAACTTGAAAGGAAAATGATTTTTCTTTAGAGTTTTGTCTCAGTGATGTTGTTCTTTTAAGGGGAAGGAGAGACAGAGACTTGTCTGTCACTGTGTGTTAAAAAGAAAACGTTGTTAACCACACAAATCCTCAGGATACAAATATTGCAGACAAGCAGTCATTTGGTTTCTGTTGATCTGATAAGCTACAAAGCGGTAAGACAAGCACTCGTACTAAATAAAAACTAATTGAAACTGTTGAAATGGGAAGTTAGGCAGATACATTTCTTTGGTCTGTTTTAATGTACATAAAATAAAAAAATAAAAATATGTGTCATTTGTTGCATTATGTGACAGAGCAGCATGTTGTATGTTGCATGAACTAACTTTTCTGCATCAGAAACAGATGTTGCGTTGCTTAGCAATGTTTATAAAGTGGGAAAAGGCTGTTCTTGTAACATATGATGTGATGAGTGATGATGTAAATGGAGAGGAGAAGTGGTCCAAGCACTGAGCCCTGAGGCACCCCAGTTAGATGTTGTATCTTTGACATCTCACCCCTCCAAGACACCCTGAAAAGGTATGACTTGAACCACTGGAGTTCAGTTCCTGAGATGCTCATCTTCATGAGGGTTTACAGGAGGATCTGGTGGTGAACTGTCGAAAGTAGACAGATCCAGCAGGATGAGTACTGAGGCTATGAAGGGATTTCTCAAAAAGATTGAAACCACAACAGTGACAGGTGTTGATCTTGACAATCAGTTTGTGATTTGAACACTGTGCTGCTTAAGCTTAGTTCACACGGCAGGATAATTAGGCCGGTTTTAGCCCCGATTCACTTCTTCCGACAGTCTTAGGGATGCTCCGATGATCAGATATTCCTGCCGTGTGTGGTGTGTTAAGACTGCTCTCGTCTGCTCGGAAGGACGTCGGGACCGCTTCAATCTCAAATTGGTATCCTACATGGTGGATTTTTTGTCTTGATTTCTCCTTGTGTGTGGTGTCCCCTGGGGACAAACGAGCACTCAGCCTGTGGACTGTGGCGTACAGCCAATCAGAAAGCGAGACGCAAAGCGCCGAGGAAGCACCAGGAAACAAAGTCAAAATAGTCCATGCTGGCGTTGTCTCCACTTCTTTGACCATCGCTTTTTCTTTTGATAACGTTTTTTTTTTTTTTTTTTTTTTGGTTAAAAACAAACAACAATCAAACTACACTGATTGTTTGCCCTGAAGTCACGTTTGATCTTGGGGGATTTTTTGACATTTTCATTCTGACTTGGGAATGCTCGGGAGTCAAATCGATTCGTGTGTGATGTGTTGATTTTGCCGTGTGGCTGTGCACCACACACTGTACGACCAAAACTGTTACTGTGCGTTCACACCGGGCGCGAATAGCGCGTCAAATTCGCACCTAGTTTGACGCTTGACCACTTTGTGTTAATTCGCGTGTCAAGAGCGAAACTGACGCGGGTAAAATAAATAGTTTGAAGCGAAATTTACGTAACCTGGCCCTAGCCAGATGAATTTCGCTCCGCCTAGCTCCACTCATACATCTGGAACCGATCCATTGAAATGGCGTTTCAGAAGGCTGGGCCTTATCAAAAATCCTTGCATATGATTGGATAAGCCACTTGTCTGTCATCTTTATCGACGTGCTATTTCAACCACTCACACCGAAGCCAACCCGTGACGCTGATGAGAGCGACGCAACTGAAATATTAGGAAATATTAAATGAAACAATATTAGGTAGATTGGACAACACGGATGAAATAGCAGCATCAATGTTAACGCTTGCTTCCTCGATGCGAGCCGCCATTGTTGTCTGAATCAAAACAGTCTCACGGTCGCTTCTCCACTACGTCACATTTATGAAACTCCCGCCCTGCGTCCTGATTGGCTAAGCCATAAAGTTGGTTGGAGAAATCACTCTCAATGGAAGAGGTTCCAGATGGATATGAGTGAAGCTAGGCGGAGCTAAGCGGAACGACATTCATCTGGCTAGGGCCAGGTTAAAATTTACGTGCGTCAAAACCGAAACCCGTTGACGGCCATCTTTGTTTATGTATACTCATTTCAAAGAGGAGGATAAACACTCAGGGGATGCCAAGATGGTCTCACTTCACTTGGATTAAAGAGCGAGAGAAGGCTAAATTACTTCCAACCGCACTGCCGTCTGTGAACGCAAACCTCTCTGCTTGCCCTGTCCCGAGGTCGAGAGACACCAGGTGTTTCTCAATGTCAAGGAAGGATCCTTGGAAGCCGGAATTTCGAGGATGCTACGTCATCGACGTCTGTCGAAGGACTGTTCCAATGTCGAGGATCCTCAGAATTTCAACCAAGAGTCCTTCGTTCGGAAAATATCCCATACACAGGCGCGAAGGCTACACATATGCATCCTTTAATAAATATATAATTAAGAAATAACTCCAAATGTAACAAAATTAGCTCTCACAAATTACAAAAACGAACTAACAAAATGTATCTAGTTTTCTTCCTCCTTATCCTGTTTTTCTTCCTCATCCTCCTTGTTTGCCCATCTGATCTTTCCCAGACGTTTTTTGAAAACCAGGACATTTTCAAAATTAAAAAAATAAAATAAAAACAGCCAGGACAGGACGTGAAAACAGAAAATGTCCTGGTAAAACAGGACTGTTGGTCACCCTAACCACATCTAAAGTATGGCGCGTTACGTGTACTTTCAGATGCTATTTTAAGCGCGCATGCTTGCAGATACAGAGTGAACAACGCGCATACACATAGATGATTCTCTCATTTACACAGATGCGTTTTACTTTTTGCAAATGATACATTATAAGGAAAACTATTTAAACACGAGGGAAATCATTGTTGTGTTCATGATGACGATAGGAAAAATAGGCATAATACACATTTGCCCAAATTGATATGCATGTATAACCAAAGCTTATATGGGTGAGTTTGTCCATCCCCAATGTCACTTCAATTTCTTTTACGGCCCTGACGAGAACATCGATCTCCTCGGCTGTGAACCATCAGACTTTACTGTGAACCGATTCTGAAGCGCGCCGCCGCCTGCAGCTGCGTCTCGTGTGACGTCATCGCCGAGTCGCGTGAAAAATAACCGTCACTAAACAAAAACTACAAAAACTGGACTTTAACACCATTTTGGAGATATTTCTAACTGTATATACATATCTTATCCGCTTTATGTAGCCATTAATCGACAGTAGTGTTTAACCTGCACCATGGCCTTTAAGTCAGAGCTGATTGCAGATGTCATGACAAACACAGTCAACAGGGGAAGCTCATGATCCACCCTGAACCGTGACAGTTTAATGTCCCAGACTATCTCTGAGGTGCCTGTATTTCATATCATAGAAAGAAAAACATGAAAATATCTTGAGCTTGTGTTCACCACAGAACTTATCAAGCATTTTACCAAAAACCCATTGACTTCAGGACGATGTGCCTAGAAGTGCTAAAATGTCTACAACATACGCCAGCCTTGCATTTGACAGCGGTGTGTAAAACAGTGTTAACCACACTTCACACATTTAAAAGTCCTTCACTGTAGAGATAAAAGTGCTTGTGTTAAAACAGTCAGTCATTTGGTTGCTGTTGATCTGATGAGGAACAACACGGTAAGACAAACACACTTATATTTCAATGAAAACTGATGATTATTTATATAGATGAAGCTCATATAACACATGATTCCTGACATTTAAAATTGTGCATTTTGCAGACACTTTTATCCAAAGCGACTTACATTGCATTTCCAGGAACACATTTTACAATCTTATCAGTTCTTGACTTGAAATATCTTCCGTACATCTAATAATCAGTTCATTTACACAAATTGATGTTGTGCATTAATTAACTGCAGATGTGCAAAGATCTTAATTACACTAAGAGCTGTTTAGGGTGACGAATATACACTGATTGTGAGCATATAAGTGTTTAATGCTGTATTATAGATATATTTTATGCTGATGATTATATTAATGCTGTATTATAGATATATTTTATGCTGATGATTATATTAATGCTGTATTATAGATATATTTTATGCTGATGATTATATTAATGCTGTATTATAGATATATTTAATGCTGATGATTATATTAATGCTGTATTATAGATATATTTTATGCTGATGATTATATTAATGCTGTATTATAGATATATTTTATGCTGATGAGGGTCAGAATGGCTCCTCCTCTTCCTCTGGTCTTTCTGTTCATGATTCACGGTGAGTTAATGTTTCATTACTTTTTTATATTATTTTTATTTTCAAAACCTAATAATGAGGGTTTAATGAGCAGTTTTCTATGGTATGTTGATGCATTTACTTTTGAAACAGGAAGTTTGGGTGAGGCCTGTCAATGAGCTTGTTTACTTTATAAATATCCTGTGGGTTTTTTTAGTTACGTCACAGTCTTGAACATGAATTGCTAATTTCCTACTTGCTACAGTAGCACCTCATTGCAGTACACGAGATCCAGGGGGCGGAGTTGGATCCAGATCTAAGAGGTGGAGATGGGTAGGATTAGGGGTGGGGTTAGGGATCAGGGGGCGGAGATAGGTAAAATCCTCCCCCTGGATTTCATGTTCTGCAGTGAGGATCATCTCACTTGCTAGTCAGTGGGTGCTTCTCAATATCCCTCCTCGTCTCCTCGCTCCTCCGTCCTCCCTCCTATGACCCGGAAACCGATCGAGCTCAGCCATCTTGAAGGACATCTCAATTCTCTAATTGCACCGTGAGGAGTCGAGGATCGAGGAGTGAGAAGGCTTCACATCGGTCACAATCATTTTAATTTATACTTTACCTTTGCAGTTTATATAAACCACACATCTCAGATATTTCAACAGTATAGCCTATCTTTATTATTATTTATTATGAATTTATTAAATAACCAAACTTCAACAACATAAGGGCAGATGGCAATAAGGGCCCAAGTACTGTCCCAATACACAAGTTTGCATTTTGGCAAGACCGGTTAAAAACCCCGGATGTGTTCTTGACACTCCCATTTTACCGAGGATGCATCGGTTGGTAACTTGTGTGAACTTGACGCAGAAATATCCCATAATTCATTTCGGCATTCACGGAAGGAGCGGGAAGCAGAGAGAGGCAGGTCAATTTTAAGTTGTTACCTGAATATTACCGGCGTTTTTTCCCGCCGTTGGCTAGTACACAAACAAACAACAGAAGCAGAATTAAAATGAGACAGGTTTTGCTTTATTGTTATGAATATACATTACATTGTAGTGTATGTAGAGTAATCCCTTAGGCTTGGGCGATAGGCTGTTATCGTCAATAATTCTTGTTATGTTTGGGCACTGCAGACAGCGTCTGTGCGGGGGTAACGTTACTATTGCTCAATACCAGCAAGAACACATCGTCTCAAACTGTCAGCAGCGTTCTGTGTGCTCGTCACCTCGTGAGTTCGTTCTTCCAAGAACAACTAGCAAGAGCTTTCTTCCCAAGAACACAAGTCTGTTCTTTGCATTCTTGGTTTTGAGAAACAGCCCTGATCTCCAGGAACAGGATTTGGTTTCCTTGAGGAAGAGGTTTGTGTGTCAAATGATTTTGTCAGCATAGACGTTTTCTTAGACTTAATTGTGATGTTTTTGATTATTTTCGAGGGCAGCATGTTGTTCATGACTGATGTCTTTGCTCTGGTTTCACTTCTGTTTATTTCTGCAACATCCTCCATCAAAACTGATAAAGAAATTCACACTTAGATCCGTCAACACTCAAACGATTCTGAGAAGATTCATTTATAATATTCTCTGTAATGAGTCACTGTTTACAAGTATAATAAAGTGTTTGTGATCTGTTGGAACTGATAAAACAACATTTTCAGCAGCAGTTTGACTTCTGTGTTTCAGGGGTTTCTAGTGCTGATTGGGGTGTGAGTTACAGTCCTCCACACATCTGTGCAGTAAACGACTCAACAGTGATAATGAGATGCACTTATACATACCCTACTGGATATAAGATCGAGAAAGTGTTCTGGACAAAAGGCCCATTACAAATGGGTGTTGAGCCTCCAGATCTGTCTAATGACCCTGAATACAGTCAGAGGCTTCAGTATCTGGGAGATAAACAGCAGAACTGCACCGTCAGACTGAGTCATGTGACACTGGAGGATTCACGCATGTACTATTTCAGATTCAAAACTGATAAACCTAATGGAACATGGATTGGTAAACCAGGAGTGAATCTTACTGTAACAGGTGACTTTGATGAGGTTTATCTCTTCTTCTGTGCATTATGTTGAATAATAATCAGTGTGTGACAGCAGCACTAGATATAATGTGTGTGTTGTGTTCAGATCTTCAGGTGGAGTCTCCTGAGAGAGTGACAGAGGGAGATTCAGTCAGTCTGACATGTAAAAGCAGCTGCGCTCTGACTGACAGAGCAACATTCATCTGGTACAGAAACTCACTGAAGATATTAACTGAGAGTAAATTCAGGAACACACTCATCCTCAATCCAGTCAGAAGAGAGGATTCAGGCAGATATAGCTGTGCTGTAGACGGACACACACACGTCTCTCCTGATGTTCACCTCAATGTCATGTGTGAGATCATTTTATTCAATATACACCTTTTAAAATAGGCTAACAGAGTTTATAAAACTAATAAATGATCAGTAAGTTTCATGGGAGCTCTTGTGTTTTCACTGAAATCTGGAAGAAAAAAAAAACAGATGTTCCTCGTCTCAAATACAACAGATTTCTAATCTAAGGCTGAGAGAGAAACTGGAAAGACTGTTGTTTCAAATGCAGTGTTTTGTCATTAAAAAAATGCACATAAATTATTCATAAAAATATATAATTCTGTCCACATGTCTCTGTTTAGCCAATATTAACAACATTTTTGCCAATCAGTGTCTTCATATCTAATCCGAAAATATTATTTTATGGCCGCAGCCGCTGCTAAAGTCAGGACTATGAGCTGAATAAAGCAAACCAGTGTCTCGCTAGTAAAACTGCATTAATCTTTTTTATTAATTTTTTTATTCACTGTTTAGTATTAAATCTTTTCCTTTTTAGATCCTCCCAGAAACGTCTCAGTGTTGATAAATGGATCTGGTGTAATAGTGGAGGGAGATTCAGTGACTCTGAACTGCATCAGTGACTCAAATCCTCCTGCTGTGAACTTCAGCTGGTTTAAAGGAGGAACGATTGTAGGATCTGGAAGAATCTTCAGCATCTCAAAGATCAGATCTGATGACAGTGGAGAATACAAGTGCAAGTCCATCAATGAACATGGACAGAAATACTCTGATACTGTGACTTTAAACGTCATGTGTGAGTTGTTGATGGTTCAGTAACTGCTGTAACAAACAAATGAGTGGATTAACATTCACAAAACAGGAATATAGAGTTTATTTTGTCTGTTTTTAGATCCTCCCAGGAGCGTCTCAGTGTCCATCATTCAGTCTGGTCAGATCTGGGCAGGAGATTCAGTGACTCTGAAGTGCACCAGTGACTCAAACCCTCCTGCTGTGAACTTCAGCTGGTTTAAGGAGAATGAAAGCTCAGCTGTTGGATCTGGACAGAGTTTCAGTGCACTACAGAGTGGACGCTTCTACTGTCAGGCTCACAATCAACATGGATCTCAGAGATCAGACGCTGTAACTGTCACAGGTGAAGCTTTTATTAACACACTCCTGTATCTTCACATCATTCATCAGTTTGGAGAGTTAATCATGATGATCTTCCTCTTTCAGTTCATCATGTTGCTGGTAGGAATGTGATTGTGACCACAGCGACATCTGGAGGAGTATTCATCATCATCATCATCATCATCATCATCCTGATTATACTGTGAGTTCAATAAAAAATTTCAGTTATTGTTCATGTTCAATTTTGGTCTGATGTAGAAGAAAATGGCAAATTTTTGTTTTATTAATAAACTTTTAAAAAAATGGATTCAGTGAGTTCAATAATAAATTGCAGTGACTGTATAAGTTCACTTTGGTCTGATGTAGAAGAAAATGTCTATTTTTTTAATTAGTAATCTTTAAAAACATTATTCATATTTTGTTAATGTCTGTGATTATAACAGAAAGAAACGAAGGAGTGTTAAAGCTGAAGATCACAGAGAGAAAGAGGTAAATCATCCAAACACAACACGAATTTACAGAAGCAGAAAGTCAATTGTTTTTTTTGTTTCAGACTGTAACTGTACAGACTGATGGGAAACTCACATAGTCAATTATTAGACGTTATCAATACAATCCAGTAAAAACGTTCATAAACTAATATTTATCTTGTTTTAGACCAGTGAATCTCAAACTGTATGTACAGCGCCTTCAGGTGGCGTGACACATTTTAATAATATAGATGTATTTTCTAATAATGTGATAATCATTAGTATATTTACATCAGCAGTTTGATTATTTTTAACTAATTCTGTCTTTTTCTTCTCCTACAATTAACAAGTCTCTTTCTGAACCGGATTCAGTCGGTGACGCTCAGTATGCCAGTGTGAAACCCAAAAGATTTAGAGGAAAAACTCCTGAATCCAGAGACACTGAGGAGGTCCAGTACGCAACTGTCCAACATCACAGAAAGACCGAGACGAAGAGCGCAGAGGAGAATGAAAGTCAATGTGATGAAATAAGAGATCATGAGCCGGATCCTGCAGTGAGGTGAGAAAAAACAGCTTAACCAACACCAACTTAACCAGCACCAACTTAACCAGTACCAACTTAACCAGTACCAACTTACCCAGTATCAGCTTAACCAGCACCAGTTTAACTAGCACCAGTTTAACCAGTATCAGCTAAAACCAGTACCAACTTAACCAGCACCAACTTAACCAGTACCAGCTTAACCAGTACCAGCTTAACATGTACCAGCTTAACCAGCACCAGCTTAACCAGTACCAGTTTAACCAGTACCAGCTCAACCAGCACTAACTTAGCCCGTACCAGCTTTACCAGCATCAACTTAACCACTATACCACCTTAACCAGTACCAGCTTAACCAGTACCAACTTAACCAGTGCCAGTTTAACCAGCACCAGCTTAACCTGCACCAGCTTAACCATCACCAGTTTAACCCGCACCAGCTTAACCAGTACCAACTTAACCAGCACCAACTTAACCAGTGCCAGTTTAACCAGCACCAGCTTAACCATCACCAGTTTAACCCGCACCAGCTTAACCAGTATCAGCTTAACCAGCACCAACTTAACCAGTATCAGCTTAACCAGTACCAATTTAACCAGTGCCAGCTTAACATGTACCATTTTAACCAGTACCAGCTTTACCAGCACCAACTTAACCACTATACCACCTTAACCAGCACCAATTTGTCCAGTACCAAATTAACCAGCACAAACATAACCAGTACCAACTTAACCAGCACCATCTTAACCAATAGCAATTTAACCAGTACCAACTTACCAGTACCATCTTAATAACCACAGATCCTATAATCTGGGCTATAATATTGTTGTGCTGCTGTTTGTTTGATTGTTTAGGCGATCATCTGTTCAGATTGTGGAAGATGCATCAGTGATCTACAGCAGCATCAAATGAGTGATAGAGACCAGCGAACACATCGCCTGTTCAATCGTTTAAGGAGTGATGGTGATAGGAATGTTGGACCAACTTAACCAGTATAAACTTAACCAGCATAAACTTAACCATTACCAGCACCAACTTAACCAGTATAAACTTAACCAGCATAAACTTAACCATTACCAGCACCAACTTAACCAGTATAAACTTAACCAGCAACAACTTAACCATTACCAGCACCAACTTAACCAGTATAAACTTAACCAGCAACAACTTAACCAGCATAAACTTAACCAGCAACAACTTAACCATTACCAGCACCAACTTAACCAGTATAAACTTAACCAGCAACAACTTAACCATTACCAGCACCAACTTAACCAGTATAAACTTAACCAGCAACAACTTAACCAGCATAAACTTAACCAGCAACAACTTAACCAGTACCAGCCCCAACTTAACCAGTATAAACTTAACCAGCAACAACTTAACCATTACCTGCACCAACTTAACCAGTATAAACTTAACCAGCAACAACTTAACCAGCATAAACTTAACCAGCAACAACTTAACCATTACCAGCAGCACCAACTTAACCAAGTATCAACCTAACCAGTACAACCTAAACTAGAGATGTTCCTTCCCGATTCCGATACCTAGACTCAGGGTATTTGCTGATACCGAGTACCGATCCGATACCTGAGTGTGTACAGGATCTATACAGCTGCAATTCATACTAGCACTTTATGAATTGATCAAATTATTATGATGTGCTTCAGACTTATCCTCAATAAAACATGAACAAATACATACAGTGAACTGGAATATTTTTTATATTACATTTCACAGCAATATATTATTTACTTTAAGTGAAAAAGAACTTAATGCAGCCGCACATCTAATACTGTAAACTGAAAAAGGTATTTTAGATTTACAAAATAACTATATAAAAAAAGTGCAACAAATAAATCTAGGAATCTAAAAAGATTATACATGAATAATATAATCTCTTAATAGGTGAAGATCAATAAAACAATTTTGTTAAATAAACGACATTTCAGTTTTGCCAGAGGCTGGGAGAATAATAAACTCAATATCTTACATGTTGTTGGTTATGTTTATCGCTCGGCTGTAAATAAAAATATGCAGTTTGTAAGTCTTTTTAGAACGATATTACATTAATAAATAATAAAAGATGTTTTGCCTAAAGCTACAAAAAAAAAATCCAGTGATCTGTACTGCTTATCAATATTGAAATGTATTGTTTTCTATTATGCTGTATTGTGTAGTTTCCTTTTCATGTTTTACTTGTATGTTTTTACAATTATGGCAGAGCCTAAATAAACCTGATCATGAACTCATGCAGTTTCAGGCTGTCGTGTCTCTGTTTCTATTGGTTAAACTGCACTATTAGGACCTCTAGTGGTTGATTGGTGAATTATTGTTCACTGATGTGATGAACAGATATTTGAAATAACGTGCAACTAATTTCCCTCTCGAAACTATATGATCTTTTTTCTGAATCGACAGATCTGGATATTAATGTCATATTCAGTCTGATTAAAAGAGGAAAGCGAATTATACTGCCTCTTAAACTGAGTGCTCTGCGAGTTGTGTATAATACAACTATTATTAAAAAAAAAACAGAGTTGCATTAATATAATAATACTACAAACACTCTGTTACTACAGCATAATATAATAAAGTCATTATTTTTATTTTTTGTGCACAAAAAGCATTCTCGTCGCTTGATAAACTTAAGGTTGAGTCGCTGTAGTGACTTGGACTATTTTAACGATGTCTGCCTGTGGAGGAGTGAGACAGCTCTCAGATTTCATCAACAATATCTTAATTTGTGTTCTGAAGATGAACGAAAATCTTACGGGGTTGAACAACATCAGGGTGAGTAATTACTGACAGATTTCATTTTCGGGTGAATATCCCTTTAACATAGAGAGCGGCAGGTTTATTAAACTTCTTTCACTTAACAAACTGACACACATATCCAGTGTCCCACAGGAGTTTTCTTCTCTTTCTTTCTATGTTCACTTATGACGATTGTGCACTCGGTAACTCAGACATTATTTTTCGGTGTATTTGACCATTTAATTGAGTTTGGCACTCGCAAACTGTAGAGGTGGCCTAATGTGTGTGCGGGAATGAAAATGAGCAAAAATCCTGCAGCGAAATTCAGATCATTCAGATTCCCTAACGATTTGCATTTTACTATCCGTTTGTGCATGTTTTCTTTACTATTATTAGGGACATCAGAAATTGGTGGTATACACATTTTAACAATTTAAAGATGTTTGAAGGATTTCCTGCTCTCATCGCACCACCTCGGCTGGGAATCACGTGTTTAATACATTCAGCACACGTAAAAGCTTTCTCTAGCCTCAGATTATTGTGTGATCAAGGGCTCTTTGGAGCTCCAAGTGGACATTTTTGAGAAAGACACTAGTCAGAGAAATAAACAAAACTCTTTTTTTTTCTTTAAATATATCTGTCACAGTCTCGTCTGCATCTCCTACACTACACTTCCCATGATCCTCTTGCCTCACACCTGAACTCACTCCCTCATCAGTCTCATCAGTTCATCGTCATGTTCATCTGTTTCACCTGTTTTCACCCCATTATGTTTGATTCCTCTGTGTATTTAGTTCGCTCGGTTTGAGTCAGTTCTTGTCGGTCAATGTCTGATGTTAGCCTTTGTTGCGCCCGTATTCCTGTCTTCTCGCCTGTATTTTGTGTTAAAAGTGATCTTCGTTGCTAATTTGGTCTTCTCTGGTTCCTCTGCTTGCAACACACCCTGACAATATCATCCTTAACCTTGAAACATAACTTATTAAGACTTGTGGCTTTGGGTGCAGTATGTTTCTACATGTCACAGGCATTTTTATCTTTATCTTTTTTTTTTTTTGATGATGATGATGAAAAGATAAAAACATTTCCCTTCTAAATTACTTCAGCTTGTCGAAGGATCTAAGGGTTTTCAATAACAACCTGTGTGTTTTAAATTTAAAAAAGCAAATCATTGGTGTTTCATTTACTTCATTTTTCTATTTCAATTCGTAATATTTTATAATCCTTACACATTTATGTGGAGAAGAGAACAAGATCAGTTTGACCAGTGTAATAGAGTAGATCCTCTTTTCACATTAGGATGTTTGTATCTCATTATTTATGTGCATAATTATGTGATAGTTGTTTCTGTGTAATGTGTTAATGATTCAGCATGAAATTATTCAATTAAATCAGAACTACACCATTGGCTGTTCAAGTTATTAACAATATTTCTAAAGTATTAGAGGTGTATATACAAATATTCTCCAGCAAAATATCTTCAAGTAAGAGCACAGACACGAAATCAACATGCATCGCAATAACAAAAAAGTAAAATAAAAGTATATATTTTTAAAAATCATAAATTTTAGCAAGTGAATCCTAATGAGACACATAAATTAAAGATGTCCCGTAGGGCAACATAAAAAAAAAGAGGAAAACGAGTTTCCTCTTTCTGAATGAAAAACAGGTATTTCCACACAGCTCATTAATAAACACTGTTAACACACAACGTCCTTCACTGTAGAGCTAAAGTGTGTGTGTTAAAACAGTCAGTCATTTGGTGCTGTTGATCTGATGAACTTCAACACGGTAAGACAAACACACTCTTGATTAAATAAAACTGATGATTATTTCTGAAACTTATTTAACACATTATCCCTGACATGAGGAAAACCTGTTGATCTAATGATCAGTTAATTTACACACACTGATGTTGAGCATTATTATTACACTCTCAGATGAGCAAAAATCTTATTTTAACACTAAGAGCTGTTTAGAGTGATGAACATACACTGATTATGAGCATATGTGATGTTTAATGCTGTATTATAGATATATTTTATGCTGATGATTATATTAATGCTGTATTATAGGTATATTGTATGCTGATGATTATATTAATGCTGTATTATAGATATATTTTATGCTGATTATTATATTAATGCTGTATTATAGATATATTTTATGCTGATGAGGGTCAGAATGGCTCCTCTTCTTCCTCTGGTCTTTCTGCTCATGATTCACGGTGAGTCTCTCTTACATTCACATTAAAAAATCTGATTTTATTTAATTTTACCCCCTTAAGATTCTTTCAATGTTGGAGTAAAACAGATTAGCCTGTATTTTTTACGTCACGAGCCACCATTTTCATGTAATAAAAACTTTCATATTCTTTCATTGGTGGTTGTAACTGATCAAAACAACATTTTCAGTCTGTGTTTCAGGGGTTTCTAGTGCTGGTTGGGGTGTGAGTTACAGTCCTCCACACATCTGTGCACTAAACGACTCAACAGTGATAATGAGATGCACTTATAAATACCCCCGTACTGGATATAAGATCATGAAAGTGTTCTGGACAAAAACACCGGTAAAATATAATGGAGAATTTCCAGATCTGTCTAATGACCCTGAATACAGTCAGAGGCTTCAGTATCTGGGAGATGAACAGCAGAACTGCACCGTCAGACTGAGTCATGTGACACTGAAGGATTCACACATGTACTATTTCAGATTCATCACTGATAAACCTAATGGAAAATGGATTGGTGTTCCAGGAGTGACTCTTACTGTAACAGGTGACTTTGATGAGGTTTATCTCTTCTTCTGGGCATTATGTTGAATAATAATCAGTGTGTGACAGCAGCACTAGATATAATGTGTGTGTTGTGTTCAGATCTTCAGGTGGAGTCTCCTGAGAGAGTGACAGAGGGAGATTCAGTCAGTCTGACATGTAAAAGCAGCTGCGCTCTGACTGACAGAGCAACATTCATCTGGTACAGAAACTCACTGAAGATATTAACTGAGAGTAAATTCAGGAACACACTCATCCTCAATCCAGTCAGAAGAGAGGATTCAGGCAGATATAGCTGTGCTGTAGACGGACACACACACGTCTCTCCTGATGTTCACCTCAATGTCATGTGTGAGTATGAATTAAAATTAAATTATTTCTGAAAAGCAAAAAAAAACTGATTCAGATCAGATCTTTTCATTCACAAAGCAGTGCTTAACAGGGAACGTTCACATAACTTTGACTAAGTTCTCTTAAAGTTATGAACAAATCAGTCAAATCCAGTCATTTGAATAGAGTATTTAATAATGTTCTATAAAAGGTTAGCAAAACATGTTTTTTTTTTACTTATACATTGCAGGTTTTATAAATACTCTGATTATGTTGGCAGAAATCATTCTTTAAATTTCCTTTAAATTTTAAGGGTCACTAAATTTTCAGCTGAAAGATTGCCATCGTGAAACAATCGTTGTGATAACTGTGGATCCTAAACGCTGGTCCTGATTCAAAGAGGGCCGTTGTCACGATCTTGACACCAAATATAACCTATGATAATTATCTTTACATAATTATATAATAATTGTCAGATATTCAGCATGATCATCTCACAGTGTGTTTGCTGCTATAACCTACAACTTCTGACCAGCCCATAAAAATACAACATGAAATCGACCCGACACTAACATTGCTTTCCCCTTCCTCTTTCACCGCTTCTCCTTATAACGACAACTGCCAAAGTATTATTCATCATTGTCTTCACATGCTGATGAAGTTTTGTTCGTCTATAGAAACTAACTTTTGGAGTGATCAGTGTTTCCTTTAGTTGGGCTCTTGACCCTTCATAGTTTCCTCTTGCTGCTTTAACAGTGTGTTCCAGATCTGATGACGTTAAATACATATTTATGGTGAGATCATCATGAAGTGGCTTAACTTCCCTTATTGCATCTGAAGAATAATCACTGATTATCCTTAACCCTCTGAGACCTAAGGGTATTTTTACAATAAATTTTCCGTCTGGTGTCATTTACTAAAAAAGCTTGTAAAATATCAACCCTTTGGTGCACAGACAATTGACACACCTCTTTTTTTTCAGGACAAATTGAACTTTCAGCATATTTGTGTTACATTGATGTCACCTGAATGTAAAATAAGTTATGGGACCATAAAGACAAATGAAAAAATAAATCGGAAATGGAATCACTCAATTATTTATTGAAATCACACACAAATAAATAAAAGCTAAGCAATTTTCCTCTGGAAAATAGTTTGTTCATGTCTTTGGAGTCCTGGAGCACAGGAATAAACATTATAACTTGTACAGAACAAAAACTATTGACATTTTTCCAAAAGAAGTCCAGGCGTTTGGGGCCTCATGAAATTCACTGGTGCCAAGCCTCAAAACAGTTCCTATCAGCAATCACACAGAGGGCCACATCACAGGTTTTGCATTTCTATTTTATTTATTCTTTTATTTATTATGTTCTTTTTATTCTTTTATAATACATTTATACTACTATAATACTTTTTTACAGTAAATAAATAAATGGCACTTCAGCTGGGTCTATCCTGGTAATCTAGTTCCTCATCCGTCAAAAAGCTCTGTTCTCCTGAAAATCCATCATCCTGCAATGCACCAAAATAGACCAGCGCTTTATTTACGTCCATTTCGCTGTGTTTCTCTGTGAATCGCGCGTCTCCGTGAGTCTCTCTATCTCTCTACACTATATCAGCGCTTGGTTCATGCGTAATGACGCACACCAATGTTTACAACGGATCAGCCTGTAATTGGTCAAAAACCATCACGTGAAAACATCACGTGATATCCAGGATGTCCGCTAGCATTGAGCTAGCGGCAAAAATGACCGAATATTTATGAATTATGGGCTTCAAGATTATCAAAGTTTGACATAAAGCGTTTGGATTTATTGCTGAAAACCTCTGAAAGGAAGCACAAGTTCCAGGCTGGATAGAAAACCTTCTGTAAAGGCTAGAAAGACCCGAAAGACACCCCCATGATGGCTAGCTCGTTAGCTTTCTGCTGGAAAAACGGTAAGAAAATCGATAAATCTGTCATCGAGTTATGTAAACATTTATCGGAGGTGACGTGTGGCATCGTCGACGACGCCGTCGGGCTCAGGGGGTTAATACATTTAAATAATCAGCATATTAAATTCAGCAATATTAAGACGCTCCAGTGCATGATGCATTCATACAGAACTCATTTGTGGCTCCCAGCATGCATTGCAGCACCAATAAATGATGCAGCTGAATTATTTTAATTGTTGATTGTCACCATTGTTGAGGTTTGCATGAGTGTTGAGGTGTGTCTGAAATCCCGGAAAATGCTTGCATATAAATGTTTTAGTAGCCTACATGAAATGATCTTTGTTCACCTTATTGTGTTTATGAATTGTAGTTCTTATATTTCATCAATCAACTATACATCACTAACAATCTCATTCTCCTGATATCCTTTCTTTACAACATACAAGTGTTTTAGTTAAAACACAACTGCACTTTCTGAGCAAGAGATCAACTAAATCTAACATTGATCACCATAATGGGGACTTGAAACTATTATTTTAAATAAAACAGCAACTTCAAAATCTCTTAAAGAACTGAAATGCGAGTAGAATCAGTCACACATTAATAAATGCTGAAATTTCTGTAAATACTACCTGACCTCTTGTAGATCTCGAATCCTGTGATCTCCATCAGTCCATCTGGTGTAATAATGAGTCAGTGATGTCAAATTTACTTTGTCAGTGTTTTTGTATATTTCTGTTAGATCCTCCAAAGAACATCTCAGTGTTGATAAATGGATCTGGTGTAATAGTGGAGGGAGATTCAGTGACTCTGAAGTGCATCAGTGACTCAAACCCTCCTGCTGTGAACTTCAGCTGGTTTAAGGAGAATGAAAGCTCAGCTGTTGGATCTGGACAGAGTTTCAGTGCACTACAGAGTGGACGCTTCTACTGTCAGGCTCACAATCAACATGGATCTCAGAGATCAGACGCTGTAACTGTCACAGGTGAAGCTTTTATTAACACACTCCAGTATCTTCACATCATTCATCAGTTTGGAGAGTTAATCATGATGATCTTCCTCTTTCAGTTCATCATGTTGCTGGTAGGAATGTGATTGTGATCACAGCGACATCTGGAGGAGTATTCATCATCATCATCATCATCATCATCATCATCATCCTGATTATACTGTGAGTTCAATAATAAACGTCAGTTATTGTTCATGTTCAATTTTGGTCTGATGTAGAAGAAAATGGCTAATTTTAGTTTTATAATTATCTTTTGTTAATGCCTGTGATTATAACAGAAAGAAACGAAGGAGTGTTAAAGTTGAAGATATCAAAGAGGTAAATCATCCAAACACAACACGAGTTTACAGCAGAAAATCAGTCGATCAGCCGTTATCTGTGTTTCAAGAAGGGCAGAGCACATGCTTTTTTTGCCCTCCGAAGTGCCCTTTGGTGCTGGTGTTCTTCAACAAATTACAAATATGTACCCAATGAAAGATCTTAAAAAGAGCTCGTGTAAATCTTGTTCGATCCTCAAACTGTCAGTAAACCTGATAACTCTGTCTTGACTGAATGAACTGAATTTCCACCGCAGACACAGCAGCTGAACGAAGTTTTGCAACAGTAAACAGAGATCTTGTTTTTCGAACAAGTAGAATACAAAACACATGTCTATAAAGGCTCATATTTAACTTATATGAGACGTGGGACCTGAGAGCGAGGTCTAGCATTTGCCATCTAATCATAGCTAATAAATAGCCACTTAAAGTCAGCGTGAAACGGAAGTTGAGATTGTAATTTTTTCCTTGTCGTGATGTATATCCGAGTGAAACGGCTTCTGAAATTAGAAAAAAAAATGATTTCGTCCTCCGGGAGTTGATTGGATCGTTGGAGGTTGGGCGTTGAAAACAAACGGAGGCAGATTTGAATGCGATCCTCTGAGAGGCGGTTCACCGATAGCCACACCCTCATTAAACGGTCTGTATTAAAAAGTTCTCAATGCTTTGTTTTGCATGTATGGAGCCTCATTATGTTACTGTGTTAGTGTGGGGCTATTTTGAGCCTTGTTAGTGGTATAATCTAGCGATTTCTTTTTACTTATTATATGCCCCCATTACTAGCATTATACGCTAAACAGTTTTAGAGATAAAACTCTTTACATTCGATTATCATGAAAACAAATCTCAGAGAACGGTTGACTAGGTACCGATGTTTTATTAGACCAAGGGTTCATTTCGCTCATTTAATATAAAAAAGGGGAGGGGCAACACATCAGTTTCAACATGTGTACCTCAAAAGGTCTGTGCACTGGCCCTTTTAGCATTTCCATCAGCACAGCAGTGGATGTCACATACAATACTGATCTGTCATTTTCTTCTGCTGTACAATTATATGTATGTATTTTACGCCACTACATTGATGTGATTTAAACTTGATCTGAAAAGTTTGAAACTGCTCTAGACTGAGAATCTACATTTAAGATCAAACTGGTCTTAATAATAATTACAAATGTTCTTGTATTTCAGAATGATCTCTATTCTGATGCGTCACAGGGAGTTTCAGTCCATGACAAGCCTCTTTCTGAACCGGATTTGGTCAATAACGCTCAGTATGCCAGTGTGAAACCCAAAAGATTTAGAGGAAATTCTGATCCTGAATCCAGAGACACTGAGGAGGTCCAGTACGCAACTGTCCAACATCACAGAAAGACCGAGACGAAGAGCGCAGAGGAGAATGAAAGTCAACGTGATGATATAAGAGTTCATGAGCCGGATCCTGCAGTGAGGTGAGAAAATACAGCTTAACCAACAACAACTTAACCAGTACCAGCTTAACCAGTACCAGTTTAACCAGCACCAGCTTAACCAGTACCAGCTTAACCAGTACCAGTTTAACCAGCACCAGCTTAACCAATACAAGCTTAACCAGTACCAGTTTAACCAACCAAACTTAACCAGCAATAGTTTATCCAGCACCAGCTTAACCAGCACCAGTTTAACCAGCACCAACTTAACCAGCACCAGCTTAACCAGCACCAACTTAACCAGCACCAGCTTAACCAGTACCAGTTTAACCAGCACCAACTTAACCAGTACCAGCTTAACCAGCACCAACTTAACCAGCACCAACTTAACCAGCACCAGCTTAACCAGCACCAGCTTAACCAGTACCAGCTTAACCAGACCAACTTAACCAGTACCAGTTTAACCAGTACCAGTTTGACCAGCCCAACTTAACCAGCAATAGTTTATCCAGCACCAGCTTAACCAGCACCAGTTTAACCAGCACCAACTTAACCAGCACCAGCTTAACCAGTACCAGCTTAACCAGACCAACTTAACCAGTACCAGTTTAACCAGTACCAGTTTAACCAGCCCAACTTAACCAGCAATAGTTTATCCAGCACCAGCTTAACCAGCACCAGTTTAACCAGCACCAACTTAACCAGCACCAGCTTAACCAGCACCAACTTAACCAGCACCAGTTTAACCAGCACCAGTTTAACCAACACCAACTTAACCAGCACCAGCTTAACCAGCACCAGCTTAACCAGTACCAGTTTAACCAGCACCAACTTAACCAGTACCAGCTTAACCAGCACCAACTTAACCAGTACCAACTTAACCAGCACCAGCTTAACCAGCACCAATTTAACCAGCACCAGCTTAACCAGTACCAGCTTAACCAGACCAACTTAACCAGTACCAGTTTAACCAGTACCAGTTTAACCAGCCCAACTTAACCAGCAATAGTTTATCCAGCACCACCTTAACCAGCACCAGTTTAACCAGCACCAACTTAACCAGCACCAGCTTAACCAGCACCAACTTAACCAGCACCAACTTAACCAGTACCAGTTTAACCAGCCCAACTTAACCAGCAATAGTTTATCCAGCACCAGTTTAACCAGCACCAGTTTAACCAGCACCAACTTAACCAGCACCAGCTTAACCAGCACCAACTTAACCAGCACCAGCTTAACCAGTACCAGTTTAACCAGCCCAACTTAACCAGCAATAGTTTATCCAGCACCAGATTAACCAGCACCAACTTAACCAGCACCAACTTAACCAGCACCAACTTAACCAGCACCAGCTTAACCAGCACCAGCTTAACCAGCCCAACTTAACCAGCACCAGCTTAACCAGTGTCAGCTTAACCAGCCCAACTTAACCAGCAATAGTTTAACCAGCACCAGTTTAACCAGCACCAGCTTAACCAGCACTATCTTAACCATCACCAGTTTAACCAGTATAGATCATATAATCTGAGCTGTAACATCATTGTTGTCTTGTTTGTTTTTTAGATCAGATGTACAAACTGTGGAAGATCCTTCAGTAATCTACAGCGCCGTTAAATGAGTGACAGAGTATTATGTAGTATAATGTATAATGTCAGTGTTTTATAAAGAGTTTCCACTTCCTGTTTTACTCTGTATGTTCTTAAAGGGGTGGTATAACTATAATTCCCCTTTCAAATGATAAGTAAAAAAAGTTTTGTTTTCCCCAGAGTGTGTGTGTGTGAAGTTTTAGCTCAAAATACCCTACAGATATTTTATATAGCATGTTGAAGTTGTCACTTTTGAGGGTTAGCAAAAACACATCGTTTTGTGTCTGGCCCTTTAAATGCAAATGAGCTGCAGCTCCCGACACAGTGGGCGGAGCTTCAAGAGTGTGCGATTACTAGACACTAAAATGTCAGAACTGTTCTGCCTTTGATGTTTAAACTGGATTCATACAAAGATGGAGAGATCAGAAGACGTGACAACATGTAGAATGCAACAGGACGTCTCTGAATGGTTAGTTGATGAATATGTTGCTGATGTGGCGTTAACTATCTCAATTAGCATATTCTGTCAGGATAATCTATAAATAGGAACTGTTGTGAGATGCACGCAGAGTGACTACAACAGCTCTTCCTCTTCTCAACATAAACTGTGTTTTCCTACATTTTAAGGTTAGTGATGTCGCTATACACAAGTTTACGCGCCAAATTATGAGCGCCGCCAAAACTCTACTTAAATGCACGTCATTTCCGCCGGAAGTGCACAGCGTCTGCCGTTGTAAACACAGCGATAGTTCCACTACTTTGACTGGATGGTTTTACTATCGCCCACCCGAATTCAGTGCAGAACACTAACATGACGACGTGGCCCAGCGTAACGTACGGCGAGATTTGCTCCTACTTCGTGCAATCCATGGCAATAGATGGAAAAGCAATCGGACAATCTGAAAGCCGCCGATGCATATCAATATCTGCACAGCAACAAAGTCGGTTGAGTCATGTCATACACAGGGCTTAAAGTATTCCGGGACCGCACCGGATCTCCGGCATGCGGCCGTGAGGAAAAAATTATTATTTTCGCAATAAATTTTTTCCAGATTTAACGTGTTAAAATATTGAATGCAAACACAGCATCTGTTCTTTCCTACGCTATCATACAAATTCGTACGAGTGATTCAAAAGTGGCTAATTCGTACTAATTCATACGACCTCACTCGTACGAATTTGTACGATTTGTCTAAACCCACGTGACGGTTATGTTTAGGGGCGGAGTCAGGGGTAGGTCATTCGTACGAATTCATACGAATTGGCTAATTCGTAAAATATGTTCGATTTAGCAAAATCGTATTAATTCGTACGAATCTGGTCGTATTAATTGTTACGAATTAGCCAACTCGTAAAATTCGTACGAATTCCCGTGAGATCGGTTCTTTCTGTAATTCTTTAGCTATAGGATTATGACCATGCTCTTATTCACGCAAATGCTTTAACGCACTCATGCGCGACAAGACAAAAGAGAACGCGCTGTCAGTGAATGTCCTCCTGACGTTGGTATGCGAACTATATCATAGGCTACTAAGCTGTGCGAAGTGCATTTGGACAGTTTGACCAGTGTAATAGAGTAGATCCTCTTTTCACTTTAGGATGTTTGTATCTCATTATTTATGTGCATAATTATGTGATAGTTGTTTCTGTGTAATGTGTTAATGATTCAGCATGAAATTATTCAATTAAATCAGAACTACGGCTTCAACTACACCATTGGCTGTTCAAGTTTAATAACAATATTTTTAAAGTATTAGAGGTGTATATACAAATATTCTCCAGCAAAATATCTTCAAGTAAGAGCACAGACACGAAATCAACATGCATCGCAATAACAAAAAAGTAAAATAAAAGTATATATTTTTAAAAATCATAAATTTTAGCAAGTGAATCCTAATGAGACACATAAATTAAAGATGTCCCGTAGGGCAAAATAAAAAAAGAGGAAAATGAGTTTCCTCTTTCTGAATGAAAAACAGGTATTTCCACACAGCTCATTAATAAACACTGTTAACACACAACGTCCTTCACTGTAGAGATAAAGTGTGTGAGTTAAAACAGTCAGTCATTCGGTGCTGTTGATCTGATGAACTTCAACACGGTAAGACAAACACACTCTTGATTAAATAAAACTGATGATTATTTCTGAAACTTATTTAACACATTATCCCTGACATGAGGAAACCCTGTTGATCTAATGATCAGTTCATTTACACACACTGATGTTGAGCATTATTATTACACTCTCAGATGAGCAAAAATCTTATATTAACAATAAGAGCTGTTTAGAGTGATGAACATACACTGATTATGAGCATATATGTGATGTTTAATGCTGTATTATAGATATATTTTATGCTGATGATTATATTAATGCTGTATTATAGATATATTTTATGCTGATGATTATATTAATGCTGTATTATAGATATATTTATGCTGATGATTATATTAATGCTGTATTATAGATATATTTTATGCTGATGATTATATTAATGCTGTATTATAGATGTATTTATGCTGATGATTATATTAATGCTGTATTATAGATATATTTTATGCTGATGATTATATTAATGCTGTATTATAGATATATTTATGCTGATGATTATATTAATGCTGTATTATAGATATATTTTATGCTGATGATTATATTAATGCTGTATTATAGATATATTTATGCTGATGATTATATTAATGCTGTATTATAGATATATTTTATGCTGATGATTATATTAATGCTGTATTATAGATATATTTTATGCTGATGATTATATTAATGCTGTATTATAGATATATTTTATGCTGATGATTATATTAATGCTGTATTATAGACATATTTTATGCTGATGAGGGTCAGAATGGCTCCTCTTCTTCCTCTGGTCTTTCTGCTCATGATTCATGGTGAGTCTCTCTGACTTTCACATTAAAAAATCTGATTTTATTTAATTTTACCCCCTTAAGATTCTTTCAATGTTGGATACAGAGTAAAACAGATTAGCCCGTATTTTTTATGACACAAGCCACCATTTTCATGTAATAAAAGCTTTCACATTATTTCATTGGTGGTTGTAACTGATCAAAACAACATTTTCAGTCTGTGTTTCAGGGGTTTCTAGTGCTGATTGGGGTGTGAGTTACAGTCCTCCACACATCTGTGCACTAAAGGACTCAACAGTGATAATGAACTGCACTTATACATACCCCCGTACTGGATATAAGATCGAGAAAGTGTTCTGGAGCAAAACACTGGTAAAAGATAATGGAGAGATTCCAGATCTGTCTAATGACCCTGAATACAGTCAGAGGCTTCAGTATCTGGGAGATAAACAGCAGAACTGCACCGTCAGACTGAGTCATGTGACACTGAAGGATTCACACATGTACTATTTCAGATTCATCACTGATCAAAGAAAATGGATTGGTTATCCAGGAGTGACTCTTACTGTCACAGGTGACTTTGGTGAGGTTTATCTCTTCTTCTGTGCATTATGTTGAATAATAATCAGTGTGTGACAGCAGCACTAGATATAATGTGTGTGTTGTGTTCAGATCTTCAGGTGGAGTCTCCTGAGAGAGTGACAGAGGGAGATTCAGTCAGTCTGACATGTAAAAGCAGCTGCGCTCTGACTGACAGAGCAACATTCATCTGGTACAGAAACTCACTGAAGATATTAACTGAGAGTAAATTCAGGAACACACTCATCCTCAATCCAGTCAGAAGAGAGGATTCAGGCAGATATAGCTGTGCTGTAGACGGACACACACACGTCTCTCCTGATGTTCACCTCAATGTCATGTGTGAGATCATTTTTATTCAATATACACCTTTTAAAATAGGCTAACAGAGTTTATAAAACTAATAAATAATCTATGAGTTTAATGGGAGCTCTTGTGTTTTCACTGAAATCTGGAAGAAAAAACAGATGTATCGCGTCTCAAATACAACAGATTGTGAGAGAAACTGGAAAGTTTTTTCAATGAATAAAAATGTATATAAATTATGCATATAAATCTATAATTCTGTCCACATGTCTCTGTTTAGCCAATTGCTGATTCACAATATTAACAACATTTTTGCCAATCAGTGTCTTCAAATCTAATCCGAAAATATTATTTTATGGCCGCAGCCGCTGCTAAAGTCAGGACTATGAGCTGAATAAAGCAAACCAGTGTCTCGCTAGTCAAACTGCATTTTCTGTCAAACTGCATTAAACTTTTATTTGCTTTTATTTTTTCCCAACTTTTTCTTTTTTTATTCGCAGTTTAGTATTAAATCATACTGGGATGTTTGTTGAAATTGTCCAATAACTGCAGCCACTGATAAATACTTTTACCTGACATCTGTAGATCCTCCAGTGAATCCTGTGATCTGTTTTTGTATATTTCTGTTTTAGATCCTCCCAGGAGTGTCTCAGTGTTGATAAATGGATCTGGTGTAATAGTGGAGGGAGATTCAGTGACTCTGAAGTGCATCAGTGACTCAAACCCTCCTGCTGTGAACTTCAGCTGGTTTAAGGAGAATGAAAGCTCAGCTGTTGGATCTGGACAGAGTTTCAGTGCACTACAGAGTGGACGCTTCTACTGTCAGGCTCACAATCAACATGGATCTCAGAGATCAGACGCTGTAACTGTCACAGGTGAAGCTTTTATTAACACACTCCTGTATCTTCACATCATTCATCAGTTTGGAGAGTTAATCATGATGATCTTCCTCTTTCAGTTCATCATGTTGCTGGTAGGAATGTGATTTTGATCACAGCGACATCTGGAGGAGTATTCGTCATCATCATCATCATCATCATCATCCTGATTATACTGTGAGTTCAATAATAAACGTCAGTTATTGTTCACGTTCAGTTTTGGTCTGATGTAGAAGAAAAAATAGCATTTTTTTGTTTTATTAATAATCTTTAAAAAGGAAAATTATATTTTGTTAATGTCTGTGATTATAACAGAAAGAAACGAAGGAGTGTTAAAGCTGAAGATCACAGAGTGAAAGAGGTAAATCATCTAAACATGACTTCACAAAAGCAGAGAATGAATGGATCAGCCGTTCTCTGTTTCAGACTGTAAATGATTCAAACCTTCCCAATCCGGCTGTAAACAGTTTGTACTATACTACAAAAAAACATGAACTAAACTTACAGATTTCAGTGGAGATTTTAGTGAATTTAACCAATCTGGTCCGTGTAACGCTTCACAATTCAGTTTTTTCAGAGCAAACAAGGCAAATGAAAACATTTTAAAATCTAACCAGACATTCAGTTGTCTTTTCCCTCCCCTTTTCAATCTTACTTGTGCTAAATTTAAGAAACAAACATTTGAATAAATTAAATCTAACCGATTTTCTATTTTTCGTCTTGTAATTTGCGCCGTGGGCGGGACCATTAGCACGGGGGCGTGGCCGTGTACTAACTATCATTTCATTGATGTAACTGCTTTATTTACACTGCATGCACGTCGATGAGAAGTTTAAAGACTGAACATGACGACATTTTTCACCCGAAGTGCCAGTTTGTGTTGTTAATACATGTTAACTATTGCTGTAAAAAAAGGCCAAACTCTGAGAATATCAAACCATTGTCCATTAAAACAGTGTTGCCAGTGTTTTTACTGTAAGATCAGCTGGTACGGTCTAACAGTGTGTGTTAAATGTAGAGCTCAGGTCTGGCCATCGGGGGCAGCGGCGAGACGGCGAGACGAGCCCCGCTGGATTGTGTTTATCTGGGCTAGCCTACTTATTCATTATTACTTATATTGATGCATGCATTGATACCCTCGAATGATTTATGAACTCACCATTTGATAATAAAGTTCAATGCCATAAAACCTCAAATATTACTACCGTATTTTTTACGGTAAAGATCTTGCAACCAGCTGCCAGTTTATTACTGTTAACTGTACTTCAGTGCTTTTAAAAATTTAATATTTCTACCGTATTTTTTACAGTAAAGCACTGTCAACCCCTTCCCAGTAGCCAGTGTTTTACCGTAATCTTTAGATCACTGTCGTCAAACCTAAAATATTGCTACAAGAATTTTTATGGTAATTCGCTTGTAAAAAGCTGCCAGTTTTGTACATTAAACTTTAGTTCAATGCCGTAAAACATAACTATTTCTACCATATTTTTTTCAGTGTACTTACATACATGCATTTAACACAGTATTTGACTGTAAAATTACATTAAATGTCCCGTAAGACCTATTTCAGTTTTTCCACTGTATATAGTAAGGGTAAAAACTGTTAAGCAATAACATATCTTTTCCGTTGCTTTTTTACAGTTTTTTACTGTTAAAATTATGACCGTTTTTTACAGTGTGGTAAGAAGCCAAGAAAATCATACGACGAACCCTGAAAAAGCCCTTTACTTTGAACATTGTCAGGGAACTATTTTAATAGAGTTTCCATAAAATTGTTTGAGTTCCAAAGTTTATTATTGATCATGTTTTTAATCATTTTTTATTAATTATTATAATTGTGATATTTTGTGATGTAAGACTTTCTGTCTCTCCTGTAGATCTCTGATCCCAATGAAGACACATATACAGCTCTTGACCTCAAGTCCACGACCTCTGACCTGTACGACACACTCGCAGTAAGTGAGACGTCCGTCAGATACTCCATCACAGATGATCACATGACCGATCTCTCGCTCTCTTTCACACAGACCGTTGATCGCAGACGTCCTGAAGACTCTTGATCCTCAACATGAGAATCCATCAGTAAGTGTCAGAACCTGCAGCTCTTCTCAATATAACTAATAAACTCTCTTCAGTATAGTGGGATTGTTTTATATATCATGTGAAAGGGTTTATAAGGTTGTTGATGAACTTCAGTCAGTCAGTCTTCATCTTATTGTTTGTTCAGATCAACAGGAAGAAGCTGCAGAGAGAGGCGGAGCACAAATGAACCAATCCTGAGCTCTGTGGGCGGAGCCTAAGATGATTGATTTTATTCTATGTACAATGGAAAATATATCAGGTTTTTTTTGCTCTCAAAGTGCTCAATATTATAAGCTTCTGTCATTATATGTTCCTGTAACTCTCCCTTTAAATGTTCAATTGTGTCTGTGATCATCTCATATTTGCTTTTACTAACCTTCTGAGCGCATCGATACTGTAGTGTTGATATAGCGATACTCACAAGCTACTTTTTTGGTATTGATTGTATTAAACATATAAATTATTAAATTATATTAGAAAAGATAGGTTTTTGCATTACTTTTATTTTTTTTCAATATTTTTTTCATGTTAATGAATGTGATTTACCTTTAAAGTCATCATGAAACGGAAGCTGAGATTGTCTTTTATCCTTATTGGGACGTATATATCTGAGTGAAACGGCTTCTGAAATGAGAAAGAATGAAGGGCGGGGCTTGATTTCGTTCGGGAATTGATTGGATCGTTGGAGGTCGGACATTGACAAATGGAGGCAGATTTGAATGCCAGTTTACAGTCAGTTGTGAGGATTTCTCCACCGTTACCCTCGCATGAAGACACGTCATAGGCAGAAGAATATCTCCATCAGTTATACAGCGGACACCAGGACCCAGTTCAGTCCGAAGTGACTCTCCTGCGTTATTTATTCTCCCCAGGGTGCCAATAGTGTAGTAAAAAAGGAATACTAGCACACACACACAGAGAGGATACAAAGCTCCATCAAGGTTGAAGTAGGTTGAGCTTTATCTCTAACAAGACATGTTTTAAGGAAAGTTTTAACAATGTTAATTTTGGTGGGTTTTTTTTTTGTTTTTTTGTCTATATAGTGCTGGCCTTCTACAGTTACTGAGGGTTTGCTCTCAATGTGGATCAGACTTTGACATTAAACATAATGCAAAGAAGAGTAATATTATGATTGTTAGGAGTAGGGAAGACATGAAACAGTCATTTCCTGATTTCTCTCTGTCTGGTACTGTATAATTAGGACATTATATGAAGCTGAAGCTGCTGTCCCGTATATAGTTCTGCAGTCAGACACATCTCGTCTCATCTGTGCTCGTTCAATCCCTCAAACTGCCACCAGAGGTCACCATCTCCTGCGACTGACATCTACCTTAATGATCCTCACCTGGAAATCACATCGTTCATCTTCACAATTATTCATCTTCAACTTACAGAGAAAGATCATCAGTTTTCTTTAGTTAGTTTTAGTTCAGTAATGTTGTTCTCTTGTTCACGGAGGGACAGTGATATTTCCGTCGCTGGGTGTTCGTTAATAAACAGTGTTAACCACACAAAGTCCTTCAATAGAGCTAAAGTGCATGAGTTAAAACAGTCAGTCATTCGGTGCTGTTGATCTGATGAGCTTCAACACGGTAAGACAAACACACTCTTGATTAAATAAAACTGTATTTTCTTTAAAGCTGCTTCGAAACTAAGAGTATTGTGAAAAAGTGCTATTCAAATAAATGTGAACTGAATTGAATGCAGATGTATTTTATGCAGATGATTATATTAATGCTGTATTATAGATACTGTATATTTTATGCTGATGATTATATTAATGCTGTATTATAGATATATTTTATGCTGATGATTATATTAATGCTGTATTATAGATATTTTATGCTGATGATTATATTAATGCTGTATTATAGATATATTTTATGCTGATGATTATATTAATGCTGTATTATAGATATATTTTATGCTGATGATTATATTAATGCTGTATTATAGATATATTTTATGCTGATGATTATATTAATGCTGTATTATAGATATATTTAATGCTGATGAGGGTCAGAATGGCTCCTCTTCTTCCTCTGGTCTTTCTGCTCATGATTCACGGTGAGTCTCTCTTACATTCACATTAGAAACACTGATGTTTTATTTAAGGCGTCATGAGCGGCTGATCTGCACTTTCTTCTGTCCTGTACTCACATATCCCACATATGTTGGTTCTGGGAACGTGAAAAATGTCCAGTTTTCTTGACGTTAGAAGAATGTGTTTTTAAAGGTATAATGTTCCTCAAACGTTCTTTAAACGTAATTTTCGCTTAAAAATTCAACATGATAGTAATGTTGATTTCTAACATTACAAGAAAATAAAAATGTCTAGTTTCCTGAATGTTACTACACAGCAAAAACTCAAGAGTGTTAAAGACTCAAGAGTGTTAAAGTGTTAAAATTTGAGTGTCAATTAAACAGTGAAGAGTGTTAAAGACTCGAGAGTGTTAATGTGTTAAAATTTGAGTGTTACTTAAACAGTGAAGAGTGTTAAAATGAATGTGCTTTTTAAGTTAATGATTGAGGGATGATTGAGCATTATTGACAAGTGACCAGGTCAGACTTCTTCAGAGATACTCAAATCTAGCCCAGATCTGATCTTTTTAAATCAGAAAGGTATATTGGTCATTACCGTATCCAAGTGATTTAACAGCATAAAATCCAGATTTTTTTTCAAAATAATCCAAAAAATGTCCTAAAAGTTGTTCAGGTCAAAAGTCGTTGAAAATGGAATTTTGTTTGGACACACAGACATCAATAATCAGCCTGTGAATCTCAACAATGGTGACAACAATAAAGCATGTTGCAGTGCATTCTGGGTGCCACCAATCAAAAATCATTCATAGCTCCCATCATAAATTGCGGTATGAATAATTTATGATATGAATTGTCTTAGGAATATTCTTTTTGTCACCATAGTTGAGATTCATACATGTCTGAATCTACATGTCTGTGTGTGCCTGAAAAAAGTTTTTTTTATTATAATTATAATTTATAAATAATTATATATATATATATATATATATATAATTTATCATTTAAATTATATTAAATGACCTGGAATTTATACAGTTGAATCACTTTGAATCTGTAATGACCAATATACATTCTAATAAGATAATGACTACTTAAATTCAGTGATTAGAGTCATATGATCGTGATGTTGATCGATGTTAACACATAACCATCACCACCAGACTGCCTTTTCTCTTTGTTCATCTGGCTGTCATAACTCAAGTAAAACAGCCAAACAAATTGACCCTTCGCTAAGCCCCGCCCTCCCTAGTTACAGTTGCTACGCCTGTCAAGCTTTCGCGGCTGGCACATCTATTACAGTGTGTATACACCGGTGTCAGACATTCCCAATGAGATAATTAGTAATTTCCGGAAAAATCTGAGAGAGCAAGACAAAAGGGACTGCAGGAGTCCATTCGAGGGATATATTCACGACATAATATGCAACCGATTAGAGAATAATTTCTTAAAAATTTAAGCTAAAGCCTAACGTTTTAGTCCCAGCGCAAGCAGAGCAGCGCCTCATACGCTGACCGTTCAAATGGAAAACACACAAATTGAGGAACAGCTATGTTCGTGCACAGCAGGGTATGTGAAAATAATCTTAATATTTATAAATCAAACAGCTTATCCATAAAACTTGTGGAATAAAACTAATACCGGGAGAGCCGCGATCGGATTGGGTTAAAGTTAGTCGGGGTAACGTTAGTAGGATATCGATTAACAAAATGCTGAGATGTATTTTAAAGTAACGTCATGTCAGTGAGCCTTTGTCTTGTCTCTTTAATCGTCTTATTTTACGTTAGCATCATTATGATCAAAGAACCGCCAATATTTCCTAGCAATAACATTAGGTGTTTTTGTTAATAATGTCGACATTTACTGCTTGATCACGCCCATCATTTCTCCCCTTGGCTTTTAGATTTTCTGGAAGGAAAACTATTCCTCTCCCCCGTCCAAACTTTTAAGATACCGGTATCAGATTTGTACAATCGATACACACAATGCTTCAGCATGTTTCCCTTGCTTGAAAGCTTGCCAGACCTCCCGAGCTTAGTTACGGTTGCTAAGACAGGATTGGCCAGTGGCAGTTTTTGGGCGTGGCTTAGTGAAGGGTCAAATCTAAAGTTAACTATGTAAAGGTCAACTGCCCAACTAAACCAAACCCTGATCTCCATAATGGTGGCTAAAATTTGAGTTTTCTTCTTCAGTGATTCTGCTTGTTATCATCAGGTGTCTTCAATAATGCTCAATCAATAACTTAAATAGCACATTCATTTTAACACTCTTAACTGTTCATTTAACACTCAAATTTTAACACTTTAACACTCTTGACTTGCTAGTCAGTGTCACATGGTTTAGGGGGAGGGACTTTCTCATTGTTCAGAGCATTTGATTGGACAATAATCACTATAGCAGCAGATCATGAATATTTGTGACTGAATGTGAATGTGTGTGTGTTAAATAATTATCACGTCAAAGGAGTTCACTGGCATAAATTAGCTCTGAGCTGATAGATAAGAACTAAACGCCACAAAACTAATATTTTGATGTCATTGAGTATTTAGTAAATCAACTTTGATTATTTTCTTTGTCTTTTTTTCATATATTTCATTATTTGAGAGTGCATCACGTTGTTTTTTGCTGATTTCTTGGTTCTCTCTTCACTCCTCTGTCTGTACATTAACTTCTGCTTTTCTGCAACACCCTCCATCAAAGATGATCGCTCATCAAAAAAAATTTAAAATGTTTACATAGTACAATGACTGGTAGGCTACTTTTTTTTAAATTGCTTGATAGACATTTCACTATTTCAGTTCTTTCAATTTCTTTCACGAATTCAATTCTTGTGATTTGATTCCGATCTTGATTCAATATCAATTAATTTGGATAAATATTAGGTACCAGTAGATAAAATGTTCATTTTTCTCAAGGAAAGAAACAATCTCACACAATGCTGTAAACATACTATTATAATAACATTATTTTTGTGTGTGTGTGATATAGGTAAACATATGATAAATATGTAATATAGTGCACATATATACTCTTTAGCTAAATTTTCCAGCTAACATACGTGCTATGGTCATTAAATGTCTTTCCTGAGGTATAGTTTTGTTTCTCTGTTTTATCGACCTTTTTTCCGCTGTTGAAAAACACTGATTGATCGATATCATGAGGTCTTGCACACACAGAAGAGGCTGTGTTTTCTGGTGTCACATATCATTTCTATTTCTGTCACACACTGTACAATCTAAAAATTAAAAAAGACCACAATAAATGGGTTTTTGTTGTACAGTGTTGAAATAGCTGGCAGTGTGCCTCCATGTCAAAAAGGGAAACGCCATGCTGCTCACCACTGCCCTCTAGTGTCACCCACCAGTATATTTAAGTGATGTTAATATATACTTGTATAAACGGTAACCAGAGGTGGGTAATCCAGGGGCCTGTCATATGTTTATTCATAAATACTGTATGTACTAATACCTTTTTATGTAATTGCAAAATTAGTAGTGTGTAACGAATGATCTGTTTCTAATATTCACTGGTGTGTGTGTGTGTGATCTGAAAGCATTGTTTGATTTTGCCAGAAGAGTCAGGAGATTCTCTGAGTTTTGAACATTTGGTTTTGTGTTTAAGGTTTGAGAAAGTGAGTGATGGTTTCAAGAAATGCGTTTTAACAATTCAGAAAACAACTGTAATAGGTGGTTTGCGAAGTGACGTCACATGAAAACAAGCTATTGAGCTTTGCTTGCTGTTTTTGGCGGATTTCTTGGTTCTCTCTTCACTCCTCTGTCTAAAAGTAATTCACACACACATTGTTTATTTACATTGATCTTATATTTCCTGTAATGAGACGCTGTTTTCAAATATTAATAAATAATTGTCATGTTTCCATGATCCAATATAACAGATAAAACAATATTTACATTTGATGAATTCTGTGTTTCAGGGGTTTCTAGTGTTGATTGGGGTGTGAGTTACAGTCCTACACACATCTGTGCAGTAAACGACTCAACAGTGATAATGAGATGCACTTATACATACCCTACTGGATATAAGATCGAGAAAGTGTTTTGGACAAAAAGCCCTTTAATACCGGGTGTTGAGCCTCCAGATCTGTCTAATGACACTGAATACAGTCAGAGGCTTCAGTATCTGGGAGATAAACAGCAGAACTGCACCGTCAGACTGAGTCATGTGACACTGGAGGATTCACACATGTACTATTTCAGATTCATCACTAATATAACAGAAGGAAGATGGATTGGTAAACCAGGAGTGACTCTTAATGTCACAGGTGACTTTGATGAGGTTTATCTCTTCTTCTGTGCATTATGTTGAATAATAATCAGTGTGTGACAGCAGCACTAGATATAATGTGTGTGTTGTGTTCAGATCTTCAGGTGGAGTCTCCTGAGAGAGTGACAGAGGGAGATTCAGTCAGTCTGACATGTAAAAGCAGCTGCGCTCTGACTGACAGAGCAACATTCATCTGGTACAGAAACTCACGGAAGATATTAACTGGGAGAAGAGACAGTAACAAACTCATCCTCAATCCAGTCAGAAGAGAGGATTCAGGCAGATATAGCTGTGCTGTAGACGGACACACACACGTCTCTCCTGATGTTCACCTCAATGTCATGTGTGAGTGCAGATTCACGTTTTCTCTCTAACACTCATGCACTTTCGATTTCTGGTTACAGCCGGTGTGATCCGGGTCATATTAAACCTGTATTCAATTCCCCAAAAAAATCACACTAATAAAACAAACTTACAATAAGGTACAGATAATTACCTTAACTTTTAATATCAATACTTTTCACACATTACAAAGATAAAAATATATGAATTTATAATTTATAAAAATGTTATAACCACTTTTGTTAAGACTGCCCCTGATACCTGTGGGACACTTGCCATTATCTATATAAATAACAGAAACGTCTGTCAGTTATTCGCATATCTCGGTAAAAAAAGCACACATATCGTTTAACGGTATCGTTTTCTCAGAGTTTAGGCTCATTATTTATTCATACCACAATGCATGATGGGAGCCATGAAAGAGTTTTGATTGGTGGCACCCAGAATGCACTGCAACAATCTTTATTATTGTCACCATTGTTGAGATTCACAGGCTGATTATTGATGTGTGTGTGTCTTCAAAAAAAATTGAAGAGAAGTTAAAAATTGTGTAAGAGAAACTTTTAAGAAATTATTTTGAATACATTGTAAATGTTAAGAATACTATGTTGTACAGGGTCACTGCTGCTATAATTAATAAAGTAAACCTAACTCAGAAATTAGGCTCTATATGAATTCAGTGATTCAGGTCTGATAATTGTGAAATTCTGAATATGTTAAAACACAACCATCACCATCAGATCACCTTTTCTATTTGTTAATCTGGCTGTTATAACTCATGTACAACAGCCAATCAAAATCTAAAGTTAAAGAATTAAGGGTCAAGAGCCCAACTAAAGCAAACACTGATCTCCATAATGGTGACTTAAAAATTCTGGTTTCCTCCTTCAGTGATTCTGCTTGTTAATATCAGGTGTCTTCAATAATGCTCAATCATCACTCAATTATTCACTTAATTATCTCATTAACTTTAACACTGCTTCAGTGTTCGTTTAACACTCTGCTCAGAGTTTATATAATTCACACTTCTTAAGTGTTAAATTAACACTGGGGATTTTGTTGTGTAAATACTTTTAAAAGTAACTTGCCCAACACTGGTGATGTCTAATTTCATTTGTTGATTTCTCTGTTTTAGACCAACAAAAGAGCGTCTCAGTGTCCACCAGTCCACCTGATAATGTGACTTTAATCGTCACGCGTGAGTTAATGATGTTTCAATTACAGTAACCATCAAATGAATGGATTTACAATAAAAAAAACATGAATATACCCTTTCTTTTGTCTATTTAAGATCCTCCCAGGAGCGTCTCAGTGTCCACCACTCCATCTGATAATGTGACTTTAATCGTCACGCGTGAGTTAATGATGTTTTAGTTACAGTAACCATCAAATGAATGGATTTACAATAAAAAAAACATGAATATACCCTTTCTTTTGTCTATTTAAGATCCTCCCAGGAACGTCTCAGTGTCCACCAGTCCATCTGATAATGTGACTTCAATCGTCACGTGTGAGTTAATGATGTTTCAGTTACAGTAACAATTAAATGAATGGATTTACAATAAAAAAACATGAATATACCCTTTCTTTTGTCTATTTAAGATCCTCCCAGGAGTGTCTCAGTGTCCATCAGTCCATCTGGTGTAATAGTGGAGGGAGATTCAGTGACTCTGAACTGCATCAGTGACTCAAACCCTCCTGCTCTGAACTTCAGCTGGTTTAAAGGAGGAACGATTGTAGGATCTGGAAGAATCTTCAACATCTCAAAGATCAGATCTGATGACAGTGGAGAATACAAGTGCAAGTCCATCAATGAACATGGAGGGGAATACTCTGATAATGTGACTTTAAACGTCATGTGTGAGTTAAAGTGATAGTTCACTTTGAAATTATTGTTGATATGTTTAAGCTTACCTCAAGGGCATCCAAGATGTACTTGTCTTTGTTTCCACAGTATTTTCAATTTTGACATTTTTTTGGTCAAACCGGTGTTGTCTGTCAGTCATATAATGCAGGTTTAGGGTTTCCACCTCAAAGAGCATGCACAGAGAAGTCCAAATTAAACATGATTTAATGACTTGTGAATGTAAGTACACACTGATGGCCTAAGACACGAAACGAGCGGTTTGTGTGAGAAAACCAACAGTATTTATATAGTTTTACCTCTTGTTAACAGCCGTCGAACTGATCTGAATCAGATGTCCAACTGAACTGAACTGAACCGTCTCCAGACGTTACGCCGGAAGTGATCTCTCGCTCGTCTACGTCACGCATTGTTTACACGGAGATTTCGGAAGTTTTACCTTTTACTAAACATATTTAGATATATCGAAATCGTCTGTGATTTCCCGTATATCTAAATGTTTAGTGAAAGGTAAAACTTCCGAAATCTCCGTGTAAACAATGCGTGACGTAGACGAGCGAGAGATCACTTCCGGCGTGACGTCTGGAGACGGTTCAGTTCAGTTGGACATCTGATTCAGATCAGTTCGACGGCTGTTAACAAGAGGTAAAACTATATAAATACTGTTGGTTTTCTCACACAAACCGCTCGTTTCGTGTCTTAGGCCATCAGTGTGTACTTACATTCACAAGTCATTAAATCATGTTTAATTTGGACTTCTCTGTGCATGCTCTTTGAGGTGGAAACCCTAAACCTGCATTATAGGACTGACAGACAACACCGGTTTGACCAAAAAATGTAAAAATTTAAAATACTGTGGAAACAAAGACACCTAAATGACACACACAAATGACCTATCACTTTAATGATTGTTCATTAACTGTGACATTAAATCCTCTAAACATCTATGATGTCAAGTTTAATATGATTGTTAAAATATTCATATTTCTGTTTTAGATCCTCCAAAGAGCGTCTCGGTGTCCATCAGTCCATCTGGTGTAATAGTGGAGGGAGATTCAGTGACTCTGAACTGCATCAGTGACTCAAATCCTCCTGCTGTGAACTTCAGCTGGTTTAAAGGAGGAACGATTGTAGGATCTGGAAGAATCTTCAACATCTCAAAGATCAGATCTGATGACAGTGGAGAATACAAGTGCAAGTCCATCAATGAACATGGAGAGAAATACTCTGATAATGTGACTTTAAACATCATGTGTGAGTTAATGATCAGCTTCATATTGGTTAAAAATTCCAAACACATAATTTTGTAATAGTTAATGTGAATTTAAATTTTTTTCAATTTTAGATCCTCCAAAGAGCGTCTCGGTGTCCATCAGTCCATCTGGTGTAATAGTGGAGGGAGATTCAGTGACTCTGAAGTGCATCAGTGACTCAAACCCTCCTGCTCTGAACTTCAGCTGGTTTAAAGGAGGAACGATTGTAGGATCTGGAAGAATCTTCAACATCTCAAAGATCAGATCTGATGACAGTGGAGAATACAAGTGCAAGTCCATCAATGAACATGGACAGAAATACTCCGCTGTGACTTTAAACGTCTTGTGTGAGTTTATGATGGTTTATTAACAAGACATTAAATACTCTAAACATCTATGATGTCAAGTTTAATATGATTGTTAAAATATTCATATTTCTGTTTTAGATCCTCCAAAGAGCGTCTCGGTGTCCATCAGTCCATCTGGTGTAATAGTGGAGGGAGATTCAGTGACTCTGAACTGCACCAGTGACTCAAACCCTCCTGCTCTGAACTTCAGCTGGTTTAAAGGAGGAACGATTGTAGGATCTGCAAGAATCTTCAGCATCTCGAAGATCAGATCTGACGACAGTGGAGAATACAAGTGCAAGTCCTTCAATGAACATGGAGAGAAAAACTCTAATACTGTGACTTTAAACGTCATGTGTGAGTTAATGGTGGTTCAGCAACTGTGACAATAAATCTTTGAAACATCTGTGATGTCAACTGTCATTTGATTGTTAATGATATCAATATGCCTGTTTTAGATCCTCCCAGAAGCGTCTCAGCGTCCATCAGTCCATCTGGTGTAATAGTGGAGGGAGATTCAGTGACTCTGAAGTGCATCAGTGACTCAAACCCTCCTGCAGGAATCCACTGGTTTAAAGGAGGAACGATTGTAGGATCTGGAAGAATCTTCAACATCTCAAAGATCAGATCTGATGACAGTGGAGAATACAAGTGCAAATCCTTCACTAAACATGGAGAGAAATACTCTGATACTGTGACTTTAAACATCATGTGTGAGTTTTATGAATCATATTCTGTATTGTAACCACATACACTTGCTTACTTTTTTATTTGTCAGTATGTTTTGTCTGATCTAGTCCTGTTAAACATTGGTGTGTTTTATTTCAGCAGTCAGATGTTTCTCGTCTGCAACTGTCAGTGTAGGTGTTGCTGTCGGTGTTTTACTCGGTGGAGCATCAGGTGCTTTTATTATGTACATTTGGTAAGAAGTTCATTTTAGCGTAAGTTTTGCCTCTTTGTCACCATCTCTGTTGTAAACCTGAAATTGCAGTTATTTGTGGTGTAAAAAAGACAGCCCAGCCAGAGTGTCGTCCCGCCAAGACAGCCCTGCCAGTGTCTCGTCCCTCCGAGAAAGCCCAGCCAGAGTCTCGTCCCGCCGAGAAAGCCCAGCCAGAGTCTCGTCCCGCCGAGACAGCCCGGCCAGAGTCTCGTCCCGCCGAGAAAGCCCAGCCAGAGTCTCGTCCCGCCGAGAAAGCCCAGCCAGAGTCTCGTCCCGCCGAGAAAGCCCAGCCAGAGTCTCGTCCCGCCGAGACAGCCCGGCCAGAGTGTCGTCCCGCCGAGAAAGCCCAGCCAGAGTCTCGTCCCGCCGAGAAAGCCCAGCCAGAGTCTCGTCCCGCCGAGACAGCCCGGCCAGAGTGTCGTCCCGCCGAGACAGCCCAGCCAGAGTCTCGTCCCGCCGAGAAAGCCCAGACAGAGTCTCGTCCTGCCGAGACAGCCCGGCCAGAGTCTCGTCCCGCCGAGAAAGCCCAGCCAGAGTCTCGTCCCGCCAAGAAAGCCCAGCCAGAGTCTCGTCCCGCCGAGACAGCCCAGCCAGAGTCTCGTCCCGCCGAGAAAGCCCAGCCAGAGTCTCGTCCCGCCAAGAAAGCCCAGCCAGAGTCTCGTCCCGCCGAGACAGCCCAGCCAGAGTCTCGTCCCGCCGAGAAAGCCCAGCCAGAGTCTCGTCCCGCCAAGAAAGCCCAGCCAGAGTGTCGTCCCGCCGAGACAGCCCGGCCAGAGTGTCGTCCCGCCGAGAAAGCCCAGCCAGAGTCTCGTCCCGCCGAGAAAGCCCAGCCAGAGTCTCGTCCCGCCGAGACAGCCCTGCCAGAGTCTCGTCCCGCCGAGACAGCCCTGCCAGAGTCTCGTCCCGTCGAGACAGCCCTGCCAGAGTCTCGTCCCGCCGAGACAGCCCGGCCAGAGTCTCGTCCCGCCGAGACAGCCCTGCCAGAGTCTCGTCCCGCCGAGAAAGCCCGGCCAGAGTCTCGTCCCGTCGAGACAGCCCTGCCAGAGTCTCGTCCCGCCGAGACAGCCCGGCCAGAGTCTCGTCCCGCCGAGACAGCCCTGCCAGAGTCTCGTCCCGCCGAGACAGCCCGGCCAGAGTCTCGTCCCGCCGAGACAGCCCGGCCAGAGTCTCGTCCCGCCGAGACAGCCCTTCCAGAGTCTCGTCCCGCCGAGACAGCCCTGCCAGAGTCTCGTCCCACCGAGACAGCCCTGCCAGAGTCTCGTCCCACCGAAACAGCACGGCCAGAGTCTCGTCCCGCCGAGACAGCCCTTCCAGAGTCTCGTCCCGCCGAGACAGCCCTGCCAGAGTCTCGTCCCACCGAGACAGCCCTGCCAGAGTCTCGTTCCACCGAAACAGCACGGCCAGAGTCTCGTCCCGCCGAGACAGCCCTTCCAGAGTCTCGTCCCGCCGAGACAGCCCTGCCAGAGTCTCGTCCCACCGAGACAGCCCTGCCAGAGTCTCTTTCCACCGAAACAGCACGGCCAGAGTCTTGTCCCGCCGAGACAGCCAGGCCAGAGTCTCGTCCCGCCGAGACAGCCCGGCCAGAGTTTCGTCCCGCCGAGACAGCCCGGCCAGAGTCTCGTCCCGTCGAGACAGCCCTGCCAGAGTCTCGTCCCACCGAGACAGCCCTGCCAGAGTCTCGTCCCACCGAAACAGCACGGCCAGAGTCTCGTCCCGCCGAGACAGCCCTTCCAGAGTCTCGTCCTGCCGAGACAGCCCTGCCAGAGTCTCGTCCCACCGAGACAGCCCTGCCAGAGTCTCGTTCCACCGAAACAGCACGGCCAGAGTCTCGTCCCGCCGAGACAGCCAGGCCAGAGTCTCGTCCCGCCGAGACAGCCCGGCCAGAGTTTCGTCCCGCCGAGACAGCCCGGCCAGAGTCTCGTCCCGCCGAGACAGCCCTGCCAGAGTCTCGTCCCACCGAGACAGCCCTGCCAGAGTCTCGTCCCGCCGAGACAGCCCTGCCAGAGTCTCGTCCCACCGAGACAGCCCTGCCAGAGTCTCGTTCCACCGAGACAGCCCTGCCAGAGTCTCGTTCCGCCGAGACAGCCCAGCCAGAGTCTCGTCCCGCCGAGACAGCCCTGCCAGAGTCTCGTCCCGCCGAGACAGCCCTGCCAGAGTCTCGTCCCACCGAGACAGCCCTGCCAGAGTCTCGTCCCACCGAGACAGCCCTGCCAGAGTCTCGTTCCACCGAGACAGCCCGGCCAGATCCAAAGATCGTCCAGCCAGAGCCAGAGACCAGGATCCCACCCAGCCTCCCTCTCCCACCTCCTCTCATCTGCCACCTTTCAGCCCTTCTACCTCTGCCTACCAGCCCTGATGATCCAGCCTGGTGGGTGGATCCCCGGCCTCTGCCTCCAACCTCCTCAACCAGGACTCTACCTCAGCCCTTCGTCCCATCTGCTCCCCCTTGGCTCCTACCTCCCTCAGCTCCACCATGCCCCCTCAGTCCACCAGTTCTGCCAGGCTCCCTGGTCCCCCCGGATTCACTTTGGTCCCTCGTCGGCCTTCCCTTACCTTTGGACTTCTCTCCTCTGGCTACGCATCGTCGTTTCATCATCCCCCCCCCGGTTCTGTTGGACTCCTCACTCCCCTCAGTCTTCACGTCAGTCACCTGAGCCTGTGGTCTCACCATGTTCCTCCAGTCCCTCAACATCACCCTGTCTCGTCGGCTCTACGGCTTCACCCTGGTCTCCTCTCCCACCTGCTCCCACCTGCATTTTCTGTTTTAGTCACATGTCTTTTGTTTTCCCGCTATTCTTTGGTTTCCATAGCAACCATTATTAGTTCACCCTCATCACCTGTGTCCTGATTATCTCCTTCATCTGTATCACCTGGTTATGTTCATCAGTGCTTGTATTTAGTTTGCTTCTGTTCAGTCTGTCCTGGTCGGTCGTTGTAAATGTTACATTGTGTTTGCTTCTGTCTGCCTGTATCCGTGCTTGATATATTGTAAGTAAAGTAATATTATTTGGAATCTGGACTCTGTTTGTCTGCCTGCACCACAACCGTGACAAACATAAGTGAAAGCTTACCTTGGTGAATCAGGCTAAGATGAAGTGATAGTTCTGAACACTGATTGGTTATGTACTTGCTCAATAACACGTTTTGGATCATTTGTAACCAAAAAAAGTTACAGATTGCAGCTTTAAGTAATATATATTCATAGATATGCACACACAAAAACATATTTAAATGAGTTGTTTATTCATCTTTCTTCTGACAGTCTTACTAAAAGGATGAACAGAAGATCTGCTATGAAGGAGGTGAGATGATCTCAGTTCTTCAGATGTTTCAGCCGCTATGAGCCGTACAGAGATATTAAGAGTATAAGACACACGAGTCTCGTGTCCAAACACCTGATTCTTCAGTTCTAGATCCAGTAAAACTGATTTCCATCAAGATCCTCTAAACATCACAGTCAGCGTTTCCTTCTGTCTCTCCTGTAGATCTCTGATCCCAATGAAGACACATATACAGCTCTTGACCTCAAGTCCACGACCTCTGACCTGTACGACACACTCGCAGTAAGTGAGACGTCCGTCAGATACTCCATCACAGATGATCACATGACCGATCTCTCGCTCTCTTTCACACAGACCGTTGATCGCAGACGTCCTGAAGACTCCTGAAGACTCTTGATCCTCAACATGAGAATCCATCAGTAAGTGTCAGAACCTGCAGCTCTTCTCAATATAACTAATAAACTCTCTTCAGTATAGTGGGATTGTTTTATATATCATGTGAAAGGGTTTATAAGGTTGTTGATGAACTTCAGTCAGTCAGTCTTCATCTTATTGTTTGTTCAGATCAACAGGAAGAAGCTGCAGAGAGAGGCGGAGCACAAATGAACCAATCCTGAGCTCTGTGGGCGGAGCCTAAGATGATTGATTTTATTCTATGTACAATGGAAAATGTATCAGGTTTTTTTTTTTTTTTTGCTCTCAAAGTGCTCAATATTATAATCTTCTGTCAATATATGTTCCTGTAACTCTCCCTTTAAATGTTCAATTGTATCTGTGATCATCTCATATTTGCTTTTACTAACCTTATGAGCGCATCGATACTGTAGTGTTGATATAGCGATACTCACAAGCTACTTTTTTGGTATTGATTGCACTAAAAAATATAAATAATTAAAATTATATTACAAAACACGGGTTTCTGCATTAATTTTACTTGTTTTCAATACTTTTTCATGTTAATCAATGTGATTTACCTTTAAAGTCATCATGAAACGGAAGCTGAGATTGTCTTTTATCCTTATTGGGACGTATATATCTGAGTGAAACGGCTTCTGAAATGAGAAAGGATGTTGGGCGGGGCTTGATTTCATCCTCCGGGAATTGATTGGATCGTTGGAGGTCGGACATTGACAAATGGAGGCAGATTTGAATGCCAGTTTACTGGTATTGTATAATTAGGACATTATATGAAGCTGAAGCTGCTGTCCCGTATATAGTTCTGCAGTCAGACACATCTCGTCTCATATGTGCTCGTTCAGTCCCTCAAACTGCCACCAGAGGTCACCATCTCCTGCGACTGACATCTACCTTGATGATCCTCACCTGGAAATCACTATCTTTCATCTTCACAATTATTCATCTTCAACTTACAGAGAAAGATCGTCAGTTTTCTTTAGTTAGTTTTAGTTCAGTAATGTTGTTCTCTTGTTCAGGGAGTGGACAGTGATATTTCCGTTGCTGGGTGTTCATTAATAAACAGTGTTAACCACACAACGTCCTTCAATGTAGAGATAAAGTGTGTGAGTTAAAACAGTCAGTCATTCGGTGCTGTTGATCTCATGAGCTTCAACACGGTAAGACAAACACACTCTTGATTAAATAAAACTGATGATTATTGCTCATAACATACGTGCCTTTAATTAGGGACGGGAGTTGTAAATTAGCATTAGCTACAAACTCTATTTGCTGCGCATCAGTTACAGGCTTTGTATTGTGACTATGTTTCACTGTATGGTCCCTGTTAAATAAATGAATAAATTAATTTAAAAAAAATTACATGAGAAATGTTTAGGATATTGGGATTTACATTAGTGTGATTTTGTATATATCACAAATTGTAATGTGGACTTTCTTTAAAATGTGTAATGTGGGTTTTCTTTAAAGCTGCTTTGAAAAGAGTATTGTGAAAAAGTGCTATACAAATAAATATGAATTGAATTGAATGCTGTATTATAGATATATTTAATGCTGATGAGGGTCAGAATGGCTCCTCTTCTTCCTCTGGTCTTTCTGCTCGTGATTCACGGTGAGTCTCTCTTACATTCACATTAAAAACACTGATGTTTTATTTAAGGCGTCATGAGCGGCTGATCTGCACTTTCTTCTGTCCTGTACTCACATATTTCTGTCTGAAACAGGAAGTGTGTGTTGAACATGTCAAACGCTCGTCCCTTGTAGAAATGTCCAATAGTCTTTTGCTGCTTGCTAGTCTGTGTCACATGGTTTAGGGGGAGGGACTTTCTCATTGTTCAGAGCATTTGATTGGACAATAATCACTATAGCAGCATACATACATACATACACACATCTTCTTCCGCTCATCCGGGGCCGGGTCGCGGGGGCAGCAGTCTAAGCAGAAATGCCCAGACTTCCCTCTCCCTAGACACTTCCTCCAGCTCTTCTGAGGGGATACCGAGGCGTTCCCAGGCCAGCCGGGAGACATAGTCTCTCCAGCGTGTCCTAGGTCTTCCCCGGGGCCTCCGCCCAGTGGGACGTGCCCGGAACACCTCCCCAGGAAGGCGTCCAGGAGGCATCCGAAACAGATGCCCGAGCCACCTCAGCTGACCCCTCTCGATGTGGAGGAGCAGCGGCTCTACTCTGAGCTCCTCCCGAGTGACCGAGCTTCTCACCCTATCTCTAAGGGATCGCCCAGCCACCCTGCGGAGAAAGCTCATTTCAGCCGCCTGTATCCGGGATCTTGTCCTTTCGGTCATGACCCAAAGCTCATGACCATAGGTGAGAGTAGGAACGTAGATTGACTGGTAAATCGAGAGCTTTGCCTTACGGCTCAGCTCCTTCTTCACCACAACAGATCGGTACATCGACCGCATTACTGCTGAAGCTGCACCGATCCGTCTGTCAATCTCCCGTTCCATCCTTCCCTCACTCGTGAACAAAACCCCAAGATACTTAAACTCCTCCACTTGAGGAAGGATCTCTCCACCAACCTGAAGTGGGCAAGCCACCCTTTTCCGGCTGAGGACCATGGCCTCGGATTTGGAGGTGCTTATTTTCATCCCAGCCGCTTCACACTCGGCTGCAAACCGTCCCAGTGCATGCTGAAGGTCCTGGTATGAAGGGGCCAACACGACAACATCATCCGCGAAGAGCAGAGACGAAATCGTGTGGTCCCCAAACCTGACACCCTCCGGCCCCTGGCTGCGCCTAGAAATTCTGTCCATAAAAATTATGAACAGAACCGGCGACAAAGGGCAGCCCTGCCGGAGTCCAACATGCACCGGGAAGAAGTCTGACTTACTACCGGCAATGCGAACCAAGCTCCTGCTTCGGTCATACAGGGACCGGACAGCCCTTAGCAAAGGACCCCGGACCCCATATTCCCGGAGCACCCTCCACAGGCCGCCTCGGGGGACACAGTCGAATGCCTTCTCCAAATCCACAAAACACATGTGGACTGGTTGGGCAAACTCCCATGAACCCTCCAGCACCCTGTAGAGAGTATAGAGCTGGTCCAGTGTTCCACGGCCAGGACGAAAACCGCACTGTTCCTCCTGAATCCGAGGTTCCACTATCGGCCGTATTCTCCTCTCCAGTACCCTGGCATAGACTTTCCCAGGGAGGCTGAGAAGTGTGATCCCCCTATAGTTGGAACACACCCTCCGGTCCCCCTTCTTAAAAAGAGGAACCACCACCCCGGTCTGCCATCCCAGAGGCACTGTCCCCGACCGCCACGCGATGCTGCAGAGGCGTGTCAACCAAGACAGCCCCACAGCATCCAGAGACTTAAGGTATTCGGGGCGGATCTCATCCACCCCCGGTGCCTTGCCACCGAGGAGTTTCTTGACTACCTCGGTGACCTCAGCTAGGGTGATGGACGAGTCCACCTCCGAACCCTCAGCCTCTGCTTCCTCAATGGAAGACGTGACGGCGGGATTGAGGAGGTCCTCGAAGTATGCCTTCCACCGTCCGACGACATCCCCAGTCGAGGTCAACAGCCGCCCACCCCTACTGTAAACAGCATTGGTAGGGGACTGTTTCCCCTTCCTGAGGCGCCGGACAGTTTGCCAGAATTTCTTCGAGGCCAGCCGATAGTCCTTCTCCATGGCCTCACCGAACTCCTCCCAGGCCCGAGTTTTTGCCTCCACGACCACCCGGGCCGCAGTCCGCTTGGCCTGCCGGTACCTGTCAGCTGCCTCCGGAGTCCCACGAGCCAACCAGGCCCGATAGGACTCCTTCTTCAGCTTGACGGCATCCTTTACTTCCGGTGTCCACCACCGGGTTCGAGGATTGCCGCCTCGACAGGCACCGGAGACCTTACGGCCACAGCTCCGAGCAGCCGCTTCGACAATGGAGGTGGAGAACATGGTCCACTCAGACTCAATATCTCCAGCCTCCTTCGGGATCTGGTCGTAGCTCTGCCGGAGGTGAGAGTTGAAGATCTTTCTGACAGGAGATTCGGCCAAACGTTCCCAGCAAACCCTTACAGTACGCTTGGGTCTGCCGAGTCCGTCCAGCCTCCTCCCCCGCCATCGGATCCAGCTCACCACCAGGTGGTGATCAGTTGACAGCTCCGCCCCTCTCTTCACCCGAGTGTCCAAGACATACGGCCGCAGGTCAGATGAAACGACCACAAAGTCGATCATCGACCTACGGCCTAGGGTGTCCTGGTGCCACGTGCACTGGTGGACACCCTTATGCTTGAACATGGTGTTCGTTATGGACAAACTGTAACTAGCACAGAAGTCCAATAACTGAACACCACTCGGGTTCAGGTCGGGGGGGCCGTTCCTCCCAATCACGCCCCTCCAGGTGTCACTGTCGTTACCCACGTGAGCGTTGAAGTCCCCCAGTAGAACAACGGAGTCCCCAGTCGGGGCACTTTCCAGCACCCCTCCCAGAGACTCCAAGAAGGCCGGGTACTCTACACTGCCATTTGGCCCGTAGGCACAAACGACAGTGAGAGACCTATCCCCGACCCGTAGGCGCAGAGAAACGACCCTCTCGTTCACCGGGGTAAACTCCAACACATGGCGGCTGAGCTGGGGGGCTATAAGCAAGCCCACACCAGCCCGCCGCCTCTCACCATGGGCAACTCCAGAGTGGTGAAGAGTCCATCCTCTCTCAAGGAGTGTGGTTCCAGAGCCCAAGCCATGCGTAGAGGTGATTCCGACTATCTCTAGTCGGAACCTCTCAACCTCACGCACAATCTCGGGCTCCTTCCCCGCCAGTGAGGTGACGTTCCACGTCCCTAAGGCTAGATTCCGTGTCCAGGGATCGGGTCGCCGAGGCCCCTGCCTTCGACTGCCGCCCAATCCTCTCTGCACCGGCCCCTTACGGCTCCTCCTGCAGGTGGTGAGCCCACGGGAAGACGGTCCCACGACGCTTCTTCGGGCTGAGCCCGGCCGGACCCCGTGGGGAGAGGCCCGGCCACCAGGCGCTCGCATACGAGCCCCAACCCCGGGCCTGGCTCCAGGGTGGGGCCCCGGCTGCGCCATACCGGGCGACGTCACGGTCCTTGGGTGTATTTCCTTCATAAGGGGGTTTTTGAACCACTCTTAGTCTGACCCGTCGCCTAGGACCTGTTTGCCTTGGGAGACCCTACCAGGGCATATAGCCCCAGACAACATAGCTCCTAGGGTCATTCGGGTACTCAAACCCCTCCACCACGTTAAGGTGGCAGTTCAAGGAGGGGCGCTTGGCCTATATATAGCAGCAGATCATGAATATTTGTGACTGAATGTGAATGTGTGTGTGTTAAATAATTATCATGTCAAAGGAGTTTACAGTAGTAAGGTGAATAAATACTATATGTAGTAAATACATTTTTATGTAATTGCAAAATTAGTACTGTGTATCGAATGATCTGTAGTGTTTCTAATATTCACTGGTGCGTGTGTGTGTGTGTGTGTGTGATCTGAAAGCATTGTTTGATTTTGCCAGAAGAGTCAAGAGATTCTCTGAGTTTTGAACATTTGGTTTTGTGTTTAAGGTTTGAGAAAGTGAGTGATAGTTTCAAGAAATTTGTTTTAGCAATTCAGAAAAAAATAACTGTAATTGAGCTTGTTTGTTGTTTTTGGCCGATTTCTTGGTTCTCTCTTCACTCTTCTGTCTAAAAGTAATTCACACTCACATCATTTATTTACATTGATCTTATATTTCCTGTAATGAGTCGCTGTTTTTAAATATTAATAAATAATTGTTATGTTTCCATGGTCCAACATAACAGATAAAACAATATTTACATTTGATGATTTCTGTGTTTCAGGGGTTTCTAGTGCTGATTGGGGTGTGAGTTACAGTCCTCCACACATCTGTGCAGTAAACGACTCAACAGTGATAATGAACTGCACTTATACATACCCTACTGGATATAAGATCGAGAAAGTGTTCTGGACCAAAGGCCCTGTAATATCGGGTGTTGAGCTTCTAGATCTGTCTAATGACACTGAATACAGTCAGAGGCTTCAGTATCTGGGAGATAAACAGCAGGACTGCACCGTCAGACTGAGTCATGTGACACTGAAGGATTCACACATGTACTATTTCAAATTCATCACTAATATAACAGAAGGAAGATGGATTGGTAAACCAGGAGTGACTCTTAATGTCACAGGTGACTTTGATGAGGTTTATCTCTTCTTCTGTGCATTATGTTGAATAATAATCAGTGTGTGACAGCAGCACTAGATATAATGTGTGTGTTGTGTTCAGATCTTCAGGTGGAGTCTCCTGAGAGAGTGACAGAGGGAGATTCAGTCAGTCTGACATGTAAAAGCAGCTGCGCTCTGACTGACAGAGCAACATTCATCTGGTACAGAAACTCACTGAAGATATTAACTGAGAGTAAATTCAGGAACACACTCATCCTCAATCCAGTCAGAAGAGAGGATTTAGGCAGATATAGCTGTGCTGTAGACGGACACACACACGTCTCTCCTGATGTTCACCTCAATGTCATGTGTGAGATCATTTTTATTCAATATACACCTTTTAAAATAGGCTAACAGAGTTTATAAAACTAATAAATGATCAGAGAGTTTCGTGGGAGCTCTTGTGTTTTCACTGAAATCTGGAAGAAAAAAACAGATGTATTGCGTCTCAAATACAACAGATTGAGAGGGAAACTGGAAAGTTTTGTCAATTAATAAAAATGTATATGCCTATAAATATATAGTTCACATGTCCACATGTCCAATTGCTGATTCACAATATTAACAACATTTTTGCCAATCAGTGTCTTCATATCTAATCCGAAAATATTATTTTATGGCCGCAGCCGCTGCTAAAGTCAGGACTATGAGCTGAATAAAGCAAACCAGTGTCTCGCTAGTAAAACTGCATTAAACTTTTATTCGCTTTTATTTTTTCCCAACTTTTAGTTTTTTATTCGCTGTTTAGCATTAAATCATACTGGGATGTTTGTTGAAATTGTCCATTAACTGCAGCCACTGATAAATACTTTTACCTGACATCTGTAGATCCTCCAGTGAATCCTGTGATCTCCGTCAGTCCATCTGGTGTAATAGTGGAGGGAGATTCAGTGACTCTGAACTGCATCAGTGACTCAAATCCTCCTGCTGTGAACTTCAGCTGGTTTAAAGGAGGAACGATTGTAGGATCTGGAAGAATCTTCAGCATCTCAAAGATCAGATCTGATGACAGTGGAGAATACAAGTGCAAGTCCATCAATGAACATGGAGAGAAATACTCTGATACTGTGACTTTAAACATCATGTGTGAGTTTTATGAATCATATTCTGTATTGTAACCACATACACTTGCTTACTTTTTTATCTGTCAGTATGTTTAGTCTGATCTAGTCCTGTTAAACACTGGTGTGTTTTTATCTGTATTTCAGCAGTCAGATATTTCTCATCTGCAACTGTCTGTGTTGGTGTTGCTGTCGGTGTTGGTGTTGCTGTTGGTGTTTTACTCGGTGGAGCATCAGGTGCTTTTATTATGTACATTTGGTAAGAAGTTCATTTAAAAAATATCTACCGCTTTATATTTGAAGAATTACTATATTACATTTAGGGCCCAGGACTCCTTCTGTATGTGTACAGACGTGAGGTAATGACACTTTTCCCCAATCAGATTATAAAACATTATTACAAGCTTACCTTGGTGAATCAGGAGATAAGGACACTGGACACTGATTGGTTGTGTACTTACGCAATAACATGTTTTGGACCATTTGTAACCAAAAAAGTTACAGATTGCAGCTTTAAGTAATATATATTCATACATATGGACACACAAAAACATATTTAAATGAGTTGTTTATTCATCTTTCTTCTGACAGTCTTACTAAAAGGATGAACAGAAGATCTGCTATGAAGGAGGTGAGATGATCTCAGTTCTTCAGATGTTTCAGCCGCTATGAGCCGTATAGAGATATTAAGAGTATAAGACACACGAGTCTCGTGTCCAAACACCTGATTCTTCAGTTCTAGATCCAGTAAAACTGATTTCCATCAAGATCCTCTAAACATCACAGTCAGCGTTTCCTTCTGTCTCTCCTGTAGATCTCTGATCCCAATGAAGACACATATACAGCTCTTGACCTCAAGTCCACGACCTCTGACCTGTACGACACACTCGCAGTAAGTGAGACGTCCGTCAGATACTCCATCACAGATGATCACATGACCGATCTCTCGCTCTCTTTCACACAGACCGTTGATCGCAGACGTCCTGAAGACTCTTGATCCTCAACATGAGAATCCATCAGTAAGTGTCAGAACCTGCAGCTCTTCTTAATATAACTAATAAACTCTCTTCAGTATAGTGGGATTGTTTTATATATCTTATGAAAGGGTTTATAAGGTTGTTGATGAACTTCAGTCAGTCAGTCTTCATCTTATTGTTTGTTCAGATCAACAGGAAGAAGCTGCAGAGAGAGGCGGAGCACAAATGAACCAATCCTGAGCTCTGTGGGCGGAGCCTAAGATGATTGATTTTATTCTATGTACAATGGAAAATGTATCAGGTTTTTGTTTTTGTTTTTTGCTCTCAAAGTGCTCAATATTATAAGCTTCTGTCATTATATGTTCCTGTAACTCTCCCTTTAAATGTTCAATTGTATCTGTGATCATCTCATATTTGCTTTTACTAACCTTATGAGCGCATCGATACTGTAGTGTTGATATAGCGATACTCACAAGCTACTTTTTTGGTATTGATTGCATTAAAAAATATAAATAATTAAAATTATATTACAAAACACGGGTTTCTGCATTAATTTTACTTGTTTTCAATACTTTTTCATGTTAATGAATGTGATTTACCTTTAAAGTCATCATGAAACGGAAGCTGAGATTGTCTTTTTTCCTTATTGGGACGTATATATCTGAGTGAAACGGCTTCTGAAATGAGAAAGAATGGGCGGGGCTTGATTTCGTCCTCCGGGAATTGATTGGATCGTTGGAGGTCGGACATTGACAAATGGAGGCAGATTTGAATGCCAGTTTACTGGTATTGTATAATTAGGACATTATATGAAGCTGAAGCTGCTGTCCCGTATATAGTTCTGCAGTCAGACACATCTCGTCTCATCTGTGCTCGTTCAGTCCCTCAAACTGCCACCAGAGGTCACCATCTCCTGCGACTGACATCCACCTTGATGATCCTCACCTGGAAATCACATCATTCATCTTCACAATTATTCATCTTCAACTTACAGAGAAAGATCGTCAGTTTTCTTTAGTTAGTTTTAGTTCAGTAATGTTGTTCTCTTGTTCATGAAGGGACAGTGATATTTCCGTTGCTGGGTGTTCGTTAATAAACACTGTTAACACACAAAGTCCTTCACTGTAGAGCTAAAGTGCATGAGTTAAAACAGTCAGTCATTCGGTGCTGTTGATCTGATGAGCTTCAACACGGTAAGACAAACACACTCTTGATTAAATAAAACTGATGATTATTGCTCATAACATACGTGTCTTTACATGAGAAATGTTTAGGACAGGCGGATTTACATGCAGTGTGATTTTGTATATTGTGAAATAAATAACTTAGACAGTTCCCTCTGAAATTGTAATGTGGACTTTCTTTAAAGCTGCTTTGAAACTAAGAGTATTGTGAAAAAGCACCATACTACAATTTGAATTGAATTGAATGCTGTTTTATAGATATTTACATTTAGTCATTTAGCAGATGCTTTTATTCAAAGCGACTGAGGACTAAACCAAGCGAGTCATCGTGAAGAGGCCAAAACACTGCAAATGCTTAAACTGAGAAGGTCAGCTGGTCATTAAAGATTACTCCAAGATTTCTGACTGATCTTGATGGGGTGATTGAGGAAGAATCTAGCTGGATAGAGACAGATTGGCAGGGAGGATGAGAAGCTCAGTCTTAGCCAGGTTGAGCGGTGATGTTTCTTCATCCATGTTGAGATATCAGCCAGACAGCTTGAGATCACACATTTACAAAAGAAATCTAATAGAAATGGATGCGTTATGACAACTAGTTCAACCATTTTGCATTTAGTGACTTGTGCAAGGAGCTTAGATGTGTTGAGCGGTATTCAACAGAGAACCATTGATCAACATGACCCTAGAGATTGATTATAAAACAGCAGACAGGTGTACATAATCAATTGCATGAATGTACCAAAGCATTTCAAACTTGTTCAAAAGAATGAGAAATTGCTTTTATGTGAACGAGTGACTCGAGGATGTGGAGGTTGAACGAGTTTGAGAGTTTCAGGAGTGAAGAGATGCATCAAAGCAACTGGGAATAAATGCAATAATGATCTGCTGAATGAGGCGCTTTGAAATGGACTGGAAGTCTGAGATGGATTGAATAGTGTGATTGTGAAGGCCGCAGATCTCCAGATACGACAGTGAGAAGAGTGTGTCCTCTCTGAGAGTGTTGTCAGGAGATGATTATATTTAATAACTCACATTAAAGCCGTGAATAATCATGCAGAGGAGCTTTATTTCAGGATGTGTTTAGAGGAAGTTTCCCATTATCCGGACAATGTCACGGCTCGTGACTGAAAGACACTCGTGTCCTTAAAAACAGAGTACCAAACAAAACCCTCATGCGATCGCTGAGATAATGATGGAAATATTATAATGAGTAAATCTCAATATCTGACTCAACACTGAAACAAATTGAAAAAAGCTAAGCAACTTTTTCCCACTCAGAAAATGCTAGTAAATTTACAAAGATTTGCCAAGTAAAAACCTAAACATATTTATCAGTAGCTTTAATTAGAAATCTTAAGTTAAAATTTACTTGGAATATGGAATTAAGTAAACTTTAATTTAGTCAAGTGAAAGTAACAAAGAATATAAGTAACTTGGCTAGTAATAGGTTGATTATAGTTGTAATTTCCTTTGCATTTCATTTCACTCAATTAATTTTATTGAATTATACCAGTCATTTATAGTATGTATTTTACTTAGCCAATCTAAGTAATTTATACTTCATCATGTCAGATGCTAAGCATGATGTGAATGCAAAGACCTCAATACTTAGACAATACACAATTTTTTTGTGTTTGAACGTGTCATTTTGAGCAGAAAATTCCCTCAAAATGCCACAAAATGGCAAGTTACTAATCCTGACAACAAAATCAATGATAAAACAGTGTAAATACAGCTGGAAACCAGTGAAAAATGAACCTCCAGTGCATGAACTCCAGTATCAGAAAAGTTGAGTAATTTTTACTTTATTTTATTAAGTTCATATTTATGCTTTCATTTCTACTCGCTTGAACTAAGTACTGATATGAAATTTACTTAGTTTTTTTTTTTTTAATTCTTGCCTGAACTAACTTTTTCTTGTAAATTACATTGTTTTTTTTCAGTAGTATTTACCTTACCAAAAAATCTAAACAGACAAAGTTGAAATGCAAGTGTCTAAAAGTTTGAATGATATCTATCTATCTATCTATCTATCTATCTATCTATCTATCTATCTATCTATCTATCTACACTCTAAAAAATGCTGGGTTGTTTTAACCCAATTTTGGGTAAAATATGGACAAACTCAGCCATTGGGTTACATTTTTAAATTACATTTTTAACCCAATGGCTGGGTTTGTCCATATTTTACCCAAAATTGGGTTAAAACAACCCAGCATTTTTTTAGAGTCTATCTATCTATCTATCGCTCTATCTATCTATCTATCTATCTATCTATCTATCTATCTATCTATCTATCTATCTATCTATCTATCTATCTATCTATCTATCTTTTAATCCATTTAAATAAATGTAATTATTTAAATAAAAAATATATTTACACTAAATTAAAGATACTGAAATTAAGACTAAACACTACACAATAGGGTGAATTTTGCAATAAGAACATGTATAAGTTGCGCAGTGCTAAACCTAAAAATAAAAAAAAATAATAATTATATGTTGTGCAAATAAAATTAATTTCCTAAAACAGGCCTCATATTCAAACAGCAAAACATAATGTACACTCTAAAAATTGCTGGGTTGTTTTAACCCAACTTTGGGTCAAATATGGACAACCCCAAACGTTGGGTTAAAAATGTAATTACAAAATTTAACCCAATGGCTGGGTTTGTCCATATTTGACCCAAAGTTGGGTTAAAACAACCCAGCAATTTTTGTGTGTAGTTTTCTTTTGATTTTGAGGTGAACAACGACCCAGGCATGTTCTCAACAGTCTTCGTGAGAAACCACAATAATCGCAGCTCTCTCTCTCTCTCTCTTTTACATAATCTTTGTTCTGTCATCGCTTCTTTTCTTACTTCCACAATTAGTGTGTGATTAGACGTGTCTTGCGTGCGAGTCGTTCTCCTCCATACACCTGTCCATCTGTCACACACACCGCTGTGCTTCTGCGTAAATCACGAAGCCTTCAATGATCTAATCATGGCCTGTTCGTACATCACACAAGCGTCCCGCGGGGAGCAGTTTCTGCCAGAACAACATACCGTCATCTTTTTATAAACGCTAGCTTACATTTTACCTCAAAATACTATTTCTGTATTTCTATATCAAAATCTCCTGTTTCATTGAGTGTCATTTGCTGTTTCTGAGTGAAAATGTCTCTTCACCAAGTTTCAAATCTCCTTCAAACAGCTGACGGCATTTCTGTCATTCGTTTTCTTTTTCAGTAGAGGTTAATAAACTTAATAAACTAAGAACAAACACACACGGCTGAACCAGTCATTTACCAAACAGGTGTGAATAGTACTGACATTTACCATGGTGTTGTGAAACACACACACATATAAGTGACATTATTGATTTCTCTGGTTTATTTTGATGAACCGACATCAGTTTTTAAATCACAAGATCGAAATTTAAAGGCCAGAATGATAGCTATAACGATAACGATAAAGATGAGTAATTTTAACTATAAAATATTGTAAATAAGCTACAAAAATCATAATTCCTGTAACATTTCTTGTAATTTTACAATAATACGCTGTCAATTCTACAGTTTTTATAAGTAAAAAAAACCCAAAACAAGTCAAAGTATAATTTAGTCAGAATTTCCTACTTGACATTTGAAGGTATTTATCATGTTTTTTAAAAAGTTTTGTTTTGTAAAACCACATAAATGATCAGTTCTGTTGTTTTAGTGAATGTTTATTGCATTATTTGTAGTGTGTCAGTGTTTGCGTGAAAGACTCTTTACACTATTATTGTACTCTTATTTATATATTACTCTGTTATTTAAAATGATTTTTAAAACTAGTTAAGAGTGAATGGGCCTTTTGTCTAATCACTTGATTGAATAGTTATGTTTGTGTCTCCTAGATAAGGTCGTTTGCTTTGGTCTCTAACTCTTGGTTTTCAGTACACACAGTCAGCCAGGTCATTGAAACTCCTAACACATGAGAAGAAAAGGAAGAAGGCACTTGAGTGTGTATTGTGTGTTGTGAAGGACACACACGTGCCACTAGGACACATTGCAGAGGGTCTGTTGCCATGCCAACACCACATCACTCCAGAAGAGCACAGTAACGTTGTGTTTTAGTGAAACCTGAGCATCAATGTAACTCTTAAATGTGCCAGAGATCTCAATGCGAAATGACATTCAATCATAAACTCTCGGGTTTTAGCATGTAACAATGATAATATTGGCAGACTATATCAACTATATAAATATACTATAGCCTAAATATTAAAAAAAAAATATATATATATACAAAAATATATTATAAAATACATTTAAATTGTAAACTCATGTAATATATATGGCAGTGTTTAAGCTGAATATATTTTAAACCTGAAAAATATACAGAAAATCTGTAAGCTGCACTGTTTATATCCTACTTTTGTTTCATTTTGTATAATTCTTTAGTTTAGACAATTATATCTCATACAGAAGGTATTTCACATAAAATGAACACATACTGGAAATGTAATGACAAAACAGTAAAGTATTACATCTCAAAACACCCACATTCATTTGATAGCTCTGCACTGTAAAAAAAATATATTAATGGTTTAACTTAAAAAAGTAAGGAACCTGGTTGCCTTAAAATTTTAAGTTGATTGAACTGGAAAAAGTGAGTTAATACAATGAAGGAGATTAATTTAACCATCAGAAACTCAAAATTATATGTTATCTGAACTAAATAAATTATTTAAGTTGATTTGACAAAAGAAAAAATGTTGTGATTACTACACTGTAAAAAATATTGTTGGTTTAACTTAAAAAAGTAAGTAACCTGGTTGCCTTAAAATTTTAAGTTGATTGAACTGGAAAAAGTGAGTTAATACAATGGAGATTAATTTAATCATCAGAAACTCAAAATAATAAGTTATCTCAACTAAATAAATTATTATAAAGTTGATTTGACAAAAGAAAAATATTTTTTACAGTGTACAGGCTACTTTTCACTCATTTGGTCGGTCTAAAAAAAAAAAAAAATAGAAACAAAATTGTCTAAAGCTTACCTATACTTAACAATATTCATTAAACCCCCATTAAGTCTCCCGATGAATGAAAGAGAACAAACATTAGTCCTCTATCCATCAGCTCCTGCATTTACGCCACTCACACACACTGACCTTCACACTCACACACTCACATCCACAGACACACAGGCAGATCAGTGTGTAGGAGTGCAGGTTCAGCTCCACATAATGGCTGTTATTCTCGGACTGTTTGAGTTCCTGATGTGAAGGGTTCATTTCTGCGGTCATGATGATCCTGTTGCTTCACGCTGTCAAACCTTAGAGACGAGACTGAACATTGTAACAAGCAGCAGTGAGTCTGTGTGGTCATCGTGTGCTCTGAACATATTCTGTACTCATCCACAGCATCTCTGACAGATCAACACAGAGCCTGGTCAACTTATATAGCAGTTCATATGATCCAACAACGTTTTATGATCCAAAACTTTTTTTTCATATATTTACATAAAATTAATTTTAAAATTATATATATATATAAAATGATATATAAAATAAAATGATATATAAATATATAAATATATATATATATATTATAAATATTGCCATTTATGTAAATGTATGGTCTAAATACTGTATATTGTTCAAAATATTTGGTAAAAATACATTTAGAATTCTCTCAAAATTAATTTTAAGGTTGGAAATGTATATTTTGTAATATTTTTTGACAATTGAAGGTTTAAAGGTCTGGAATAATATATCTCCTAATCTGTGCAGTTTGCATATTTTTAGCATAGGCTATATTTGAAAATATTAAATTAAAAAATATATAATTTTTTTATATACTGTACATTTAGGTAAATTTAGTATACATACAGTATATAACATGTACACACTGTGGATAGACTCTGCAGAAATGGTGCATGTTTTAGTGTGGCATTTTTCAAACATATCCAGAGAAAAGAAACATCAAATTGAAAACTCAAGGATCTTCCTCTCAGTCGGTCAGTATTTCATTTCAAAGCCATCATCATTTCTGCCTGTGGAGATAAAATGTGTGTCTACACATCTGAATAGGTGTAATTATGAATCTCTCCTGCAGGATGAATAACAAACTCCACTGCCTTTCAGTCTATTCAGCTGCGGAAATGTCAGCCGGCGCACAAACAACTGCCCGACGTTAACCCTCTACAGACCGCACACACACACTCCACCTGAAGAGTGTGTGCAACTCAAAATACAAGAAACGAACTCTGGAGAAACACCAGACATCAGTAGCATAGATAAAAAGGACGGACAGACGTGATTACACGAGGTAAAAACGATATAAATCCTGTTCGTTTTCTCACACAAACCGCTCGTTTCGTGTCTTAGGCCATCAATGTGTACTTGCGTTTACGAGTCATTAAATCATGTTTAATTTGGACTTCTCTGTGCATGCTTTTTGAGGTGGTGACCATAGACCTCCATTATATGACTGACAGACATGAACGGTTTGACCTAAAAATATCAAAATTGAAAATACTGTGGAAACAAAGGCACCTACATCTTGGATGCCCTTGAGGTAAACTAAAACATATCAAACATTAATTTCAAAGTGAACTATCCCTTTAACCCTCTGGAGTTGTTGGGCCCAAATGGACCCGAAGAATTTAAATAAAAAATTTTTTAAATCACAGCTTCCTCGGATCGGTCTGAAATTTGGTGACTTTGTTGGTATTTGGTATTTGAACACCCCAAAAAATTGGGGACCGGATGTGAATAGTCTGAGTGGTTGTAAAAAAAGAAATAGTGACACTTGGGGTGTTCGGGTCCAAATGGATCCGCATGGAAAATGAATGGGAAATTGGCAAAAATGTGAAAATACTGAGTTTTTTTGTGCGTACAATCTACAAATCAGCAAAGCACACAACAGTGAAGGGGTGAATCTATAAAACATCAAGAGTGCAAATCCACACACACACAAACACACTTTTATACACAAACGCACCAAAAAAATTCAGATGTGTTTTGTGTTTTTAAAATGCTCAGTTTGTCCACCAGATGGCATCCATCTCATTTCAAAAATTGCTTTTATGAGGCCTAGGCTTGACTCTAAAATGAAATACAGCTTTAAAAAAAAATATATATATATATATATATTTTAAAAAATCTATTTTTTCTATTATGTTCAACTGGGGGAAAATTTGTCATAATTATTGCATTAATACTAATTATATTTTTTTTTTTAAATTTTCTCAAAATACCAAAAAAGAAAAGAAAAAATATTATAAAAAACGAGTAAAAAAAAAATCATGATTTTTTTTTTTTTTTCAAATATGAATCCCTCCCTTTGGGTCCATTTGGACCCGAACACCCCAAGTGTGACTCTGAAACGAACAACCCCAGAGGGAAGAGCGATTTCTGCCAGATTTGACCCATAAATGTTTTATTTGTGTCGATTAATGTATTCAGCTTGATCCAGTGAGTTTTTAATAAAAACAGTGAATTTAGATTTACCACTTTTCTAGTCTAGGCCTAAAGACACTCCAATGCCAGGAAAGAGAACACATTATATTCAGTGCATGAAGTTTTATCAAGTCTGCAACTACTGTATGAGACATCACATATGAGCTCTTTCATGATGCCCTGTAGAGCTGGATGTGGTTTAGAGAGACAGAAAGGGGAAGGAAATGTTGATATTAGTTGCTGACACACATTGTCCTCTCAGTACGGAAGAGAAGGACAGTAACGTTTGTCACACAGAGTTTGTTGTTTTATTTGAGCGAAACGCTCGTCAGATGTCATGATGTTGGACGTCCTGCTGCTCTTTTCCAGCATCTGTACAGGTGAGTTTCAGACTCTCAGCTCTTTTACACACAGTTTGACATCTTGATCATCAGACTCATATGGAGGAGATTTGAGAGTTATTATTCATCTCTTTCTCACACATAACAGCTCTATATGATGATGTGTGTGTTTTCAGCTGTTGGTGGTCGAGCTCCACAGACAATTACTGGATACAGAGGAGAGAGAGTTGACATCAGATGCTCATATGAATCTGGATATGAAACATATTCAAAGTTTTTTTGTAAAGGGAAGTGTAACTATAAAAACATCATGGTTGAATCAGGATCTCCAGCTGAAGACGAGAGATTCTCTCTGACTGACGACACGACGGCCAGAGTTTTCACCGTCACCATCACTGATCTGAGAACAGAGGATCAAGGCCTATACTGGTGTGGTGTGGAGAGGAGTATTACTATTGATGTCTATTCAGAGATTATGTTGCTGGTTAAAGATGGTGAGTGATTAAATATGTCAATAGCAGAAATGAACTACATGGAAACAAGAGAGTGAGAGATCAAGTCATTAATCTTCTACAAACCCAAATCCACAAAAGATGGATCATTTAGTAAAATGCAATACTATCAGGGATCTGTGATTTGTTAATTCTGTTTTATCTTTATTTGACTGGCGAAAGTAAAAAGAAAGATTTCTGATATTGATGTGTATTCAGAGATTGAGAGGGAGAGATCGAGTCATCAAGAACTTTGAGTTGTTTGACAATCCTCTCGTGATGTTTGTTGATTAGCCATGACACATCTATGATCACGATCCCTTCACCTACAGTTACCAGCTCTCCTGTGTAGAAATGTAGATGATTCATAATATTCATATTCTTTTTTCCCATCTTCAGACAAGATCACTGAGGTCTCAACAATCAGCTCATTTTCAGTCTCAAGTGAGTAAGTGCCAGATCAGATCTGGGCCGAAACAATGTTGCTATGGGATATTATTTATATTCATATTATTTTTTTTTCCACCTTCAGACAAGAGAGGTTTAACGACCACTGAGGTTTCAACAATCAGCTCATTTTCAGTCTCAAGTGAGTAAGAACTGAATCCATCCAGCAGCGACACATCATCAGATCTCTTCATCTCTTCAGTCTTTAATACGCTTTATCTCTGGTTATTTCCTCACCGGACACAGGTGAACATCTCTCTGCATCCCAGCATCCATCTCACCCCTCATCGCAACAGCAGGTCAAAGGTCTGACAGACGTTGTCATGGAAACATGACTTTCAATAAGCCTCATATACGTCTATTTTCATGCATATTCACCAATTTGTATCTTGATCCTCTGATATTCTGAGTCTTCTGGCTGTTTCTCTCTTGTGTTTTCCAGGTTCATTTGTGATTATCGTCACTGTGGAGGCTTTAGTTTTACTCCTGATAGCAGTTCCACTGATTATAGTGGCTGTGAGAAAGAAAAAGAAGAATAAAGGTAATATTTCACACTAAATATTTGGTTGTGTGTGTGATTACACGTGTGGGAACTGAATTAAAGGGTTTTATAATTATGAGTTATAAGATGACTGAAGAAGTGAGTATCTATGTTGATCTATTGCTCAGGTCTGCTGTCGTCCAGCACTGTTGTGTTTATTCCAGTGATTTATGATCAGGTGAGTCAGCAGAAACTGATGATTATTAATTGAACTCGAGGTTTACAGTAGTAATTGTGTTGGCAGATCCATTGAAACACAATCAGATTTAATGTCTTGCTCAACACTGTGATGATCCTGAAACAGGACTGTGTGTTTTTACTGATCTTCAGGCATTGAATCTCTTGTGTGTGAATGATCATATTCACGTGTAAACATTATAAATAGATTGAGTTATTTCTCCATTAACGTAAAAACTGTTGTTTGTGTGATTATAGATCAAAGACACTGGACTCTTCTGTAATCCAGAGGACAGAGACACACAAACAACTGTATTTTACAGCGGCGTTTCATAAACTATAACGTCCTCCTTCATAAACACAGATGAGTTCGTTACACCAAACCTCAGACTGGACACACACTTGGAGATTTTAAACCTCGGTTTGCACCGCATCCGATCGGGGGTCGCGGTCGATTCAATGCTTGTCGCAAACGACTTTTTTTCTATTGTGTGGAGTCATTACTGTTATTTCACTTCTCCTGATCACATCGGTCTCCCACAGTTTTGAAATATATAATAGTTACAATATAATATACCAAATTGTCTTCATCCTCGTCATTTTTCAACGCGGTTTTCAAAGCACTATTGTATCACACACATGCTTATATGGAAATAACAATACCACATGGTTCCTGTTTTGCTTTGTTCTTTTCCCGCCACTAGTTGCCATGGACACCTTGATTATAAGTTTCAGCCCAGCTGTGTTAATCATGATCTCGATAGTGTCAGCTGTGTCTTTCTTTGATTAAGTCCATGTTTAATCCCTGTGGTCTCTCTCAGTCTCTGTCGCTTCTCGTTAATGTGTGTTGTGATGTGGTTTTCACTTGTTTTTTTTCCCTATTCCTGAGTGTTTTATTAAAGTCTTCCTTCTAGAATTAAAAAAATAAGAAACCATTTTACGTAGCAATTATGTTGTGTCTGTAGTAGTTATTAATGTGAATATCGTTTCCTTGGATTCATCTGTTCACTCCTGCTGGTTGATGTTGTAACTGCACCGTTCAAAAGTTGCTGAATATCCGAGTAGTATGAGACTCGGAGACCTGCATCTACAGTCCCCCTGCACACAGAGTCCCGGATTCTCAGACCCCTCGTTTTTCGGGACAGCGCCTCCTATCAAATTGTATCGGATAAACATGTGAAGAACTCAAGCCAGAACGTGAGTAGGCTATCTTCAATTTTATTTAGCGAATCGTAGTAGCCTACTCGTTTGATTTATTTTTTAATAAAACTAATTTATCTCATCGATACAACATATGAATAGTCCATTTAATATTTGTAACGATAGTTTGTAACAAGATTTGAGCCGTACTTTTTTTCGTCCTCTTTCCCCCGAAGATATTTAGATAGCTTACGTTTACGTTAGCCTTTAACCTTGGACATTTTGTAGAAATGTCTTAAATGCTGCAATTTTCACTGCCCATTTTGTGCCCCCGTATATTTCAAACCCACAAAGTTGTCCAAGTTCAGAACAAGCGGCAACCTCCCCGTCTCTCTCTTGAAGCCAACACGGAAGTGAATTAAACTGCAATTTATCGAGTGGCCGCTTGAGGCAGGCTGCAGAAGCGAGTCAAATCTGTATCTCCCCCATGTTAAAATGCCCAACTTTACAGCAGAAAAAAACATGTTTACAGCCTGGAGCAAAAAGTGGCTTTGGTCTATAGAGCTCATTTTTCCCTTGAATTTTTTTTTACAACTCATCTGTTTAAATTATATTTAAGCCTTAAAGTTCTGCATAATTAAGGGCGTGGCCACTTGAGTGACAGGTGTATTTTTGCAGCCGCTTTCACTGCTAATCGTTAGTCTGCTGTCTGTTAGCGTCACCCTCAGCTGTGTTTGTGCTTTTCCGGGATTATTTCATACAATTTAATACATGTATTATACCTGTATAGTTATGTTTATTTAATATAATTTTAAAAAGAAGCATATAAACACAACGAGGGGTGTCTGTTTTAGGCTATCTGTTTTTGCGACTAACGTTTCTTTAGTATAACCATGGAGTATAAAATTCAATATAAATTCTCGGTATTGCATTGGACTCTATGATCGGCGGAAGTTATCGAGCATCCTTAATCCTTCACCGGAAATAACGCCGTGCATAGAGCCCATTTAAAAAAAAATCCCACAATGTACGATCATTTCAGAATTTTGTGGCACTTCAAATGATGGTTGTTGTAATCGTAGGGTTTCTATACACATAGATCTAGCTGTGGATTATACGTCTATTCCGTCATGATCGCGTCGTCCATCTCATCTCACGACGTTACTTCTCGGCCAATCGAGAATGATTGTCTCTCATGAGCACAAGTTAACGTTTCTTTACTGTAGCCTATACAAAGTTGTAGCTATTTCATAAACATGTCATCTCTGGATGTTTTGCAAGAAAAAAAACTAAAAAAGTGACCGTTTAGGTCAGTTTTGTTGCCAAGCGGAGGGCGAAAGTTTAGCAATTACCGTTAGGCCTATGTTACAGCGCAATTTTTTTTACATGGATGGATGGATGGATAGAAGTTCATGTAGCCTTGACGTTTCCAGGTTCACTTCCTCTTCTTTATCTTCCAGCACATCCTGTTCAGCGACTGAAGAGTGTTATGCAACCGGAGCGAGTCAAGGCTTTATCGTTTCATCTGGACGCCCACATGCTTTCAGTTATTTATTTATTCTGAATGCATGAATCGTGACACACTCCTCTCCACTTCATTACACTGGTGAGTTGGCATCTGTCACTACAGCGATTCACCAAATCACAGGACTGTACTCGTGTAAAAAATATTTTATTTAAAACGTGTACAGATATTAGACAGTCAGCATCACATGCATTCAACAAACCAGCCGAGCAACATCAGGCTTTATTATTTCACACCGATGTTTCGTTTAATAGGCGAGCGAGCCGTAAAAGTGGCCTAAAGATTGACGTCAACAACATTATCATTCACAGCATTGTTTGCAGTCATTAAATATGGCATCTACTTTAAGGCAACAGAGGATCCTTTCGATTATGGGTTGATATTAAACACATTTTTACAACATTAAATCAATTTCAGCTAACATTAAAGAAGCTAAAGTTCAGATAAATGTTTCATTGTCCCTCCCTCATTCATTAAGTAAAATAAAAGAATAGTTATGGCTATTTTTAAATACATTCATGTGCATTTTACTCTCTGGTGCTCTTCGGTCATTTACGACCGAATCATTTTTACATTTCTCTTTTTTGGGAATGTTTTTTTTTTTTTTTCTTCATAGGAACGGTACGAAACTTGCAAAAGGGTTTGACGCTAAGTGAACAAGATCACGGATATTATTTGAACAGGTAAAAATGAGCACATTGGAAATGAATGAGAGGCGAGTTTCCTCTAGTGGAAGCGTTCGGTACTGCGGCCAAACACACTCTTACTGAACGCACATCTACTGAGATATCAGCCTCAAACCTGTTTAGATTTATGCCTTTGATTTCTTCACAGTTTTAGAATAAAACAAAAAAAAGTAATAAAATAGCATTTTTTTTCCACATTTTTCACAACAATAAAGTCAAATTCTGTACCTTGTGTAAGTTTAGGCTACTTTTTAAAAACTTTTTACTTCAGCAAGAATCTGCCGAGTGTCGTCTTTGAAAAGAGATCAAACTTAAATTTTCAGGTCTATGTTCAAAAAGTGACTAGATAATAAATACAGCGTAAATATAATTTAGTACCACAAAATCCCCTAAAAATACTAAATATTAAATAAAAAAAAAATCAAACTAAAATACAGTACATTAATTTCATTGAAACAAAAATAATAAACGGTCATATTTCACCAACACGTGAAGAGCACCAGAGGGATTTACTAGGCCAAGATTGAAATATAATATATAATATAATAGTAAACAGTGTTGTGATTCATCCATATGCACCCAAAAAAAATTCCCCCACTTGTCTGGAAACGTTGAGTATTGTCAGTGCTGTTAGTTTTTACAGTTCTGTCTCAGTTTCACTGAATCGGACACCTGTCCAGCGCTCGGCCCTGTTTTCCATTGGCTTTGGGCCCGAGCACCAGCCGGAGGTCAGTGCCGAAGCTCGGCCTGCGCGCGAGTGGATATACGGCTCCACACGGGGCGTCGCTCGCCGCCCGCAGCGCCTGGTATGAGCGGATGGACACCTTGCGGTGCTGCGAGGGTCCGGTCTCCAGCGGGAGTCCCCCGCGCCGCGCCAGCGCCTCGAACACCTGCTCCAGATTCACCGCGTCCTTCGCCGACGTCTCCACCAGAGCGCAGCCGGTACCGAGGCGGCGCTGCACTTCCGTCCGCGACACCGCGCGCCGCTCCGACGCCAGGTCCAGCTTGTTGGCGCAGACCACCGTCGGCACACACACTTTCTGCTTGTGTAGCGCCGCTTTAGCCGCTTGTATCTCGGCGTGAAGAGCACACACCTCCTCGAACGAGCTGCGGTCGTCCAGACTGAACACCAGCAGGAACACATCGCCTGAAACACCCGAGAGAGAGAGAGAGATGCCGTCAGACACTCGGAGCATTCAGGGAAATCACGGATATCGGCTAACGTATCGGTATCGGCCCATATATATGTTCATTTTTTGACCAAAGGTTAAAAAACTAAATAAACAAGATATAAAAATGTACAAAAACAATATAATTAAACAAATCGAATTCCACTTTTAACACACTGTAAATTGTTCGCGAAGAATGTGCTGTTGTTATCAGCCGATATCTTAAAGTTGATATGTATTATTTCCATGCGCACTGTTCATCATGAGGGTTGATTGGAAACACTTTAGAAAGAAACAAACACAAGTCTGACATATCGGCTACATGGCATATCATGAGAGCATTATAATTTTGTGTTTGGGATTTTAATGGTCAGACTTTTGTTTTTGTAATCCGGCTCTCAAAATTTATATCAAAATTTTAAATTATCGGCCAATATATCGGTTATCGGCTTTCGGATATAAAGAATTATTATCAGTATCAGCCAAAATTTTAATATTAGTGCATCAAGTGCAACTTGTAACTAAAACTGCAGACAGAAAGTTTAGACACTCCTGCTGGAAGTAAATACCGCCATCAATTCATATAAACGGGTTTATGATAATATGAATATTTTATGATTTATGTTACATGCTCAAAATTATTGAACTCAACTTTGCTCTATGATCAAGTTTAGTTTCAGAGATTGATTGTTCAGTCTGAGATTGAACCTTTTGAGGGATGCTGATGCTTTAAAAAACTGCATCCAATAAATTAAAACATAATATTCGGAACACAAAAAAGATTCCAATTAGAACCAAAAAAGATTTAGCGCGTCTCTTCATCAATGGATCTTTAGAAAACATTTAAATCTCAACAACTTCAAAACAGCCATTTAGTGCAACACGGTCTCATGAAAATGCGTAGCTCGAATTGTATTTATCGCGCAGTTTATACGCAAAAATAAAGAGTTTTTACATACGCACTGTAAACCCCAGTGCTTTGCGTGCGTATAATATGCGTGTACAAACTTTTTTTTTGCGTATAAATTGCACGATAAATACTATTCGAGCAATAGACGCGCACTTTCATGAGATCCTGCTGGCATTTACAGCTCAAGAGTGTGTTAGTAGCTTTCCGCACCGGTGAGGATGGAGAGTCTCCTCTTGGCGGGGAACGAGCGTTCCCCGGACGCGTCCAGGATGTCTATCTGGTAGGTCTCGCCTCGGATGTGGTAGAGTTTGCGGTGGAAATCTTCAGCGGTGGGCTCGTATCGCTCCTCGAAGCCGTCGCGCAGGAACCGGCGCAGGATCGAGGTCTTCCCGACGCGCGGCGCGCCGAGCACCACAACGCGCCTGCAGTTCTGCGGCTTTGCGGAGCCGTGCGCCTGGTTCGCGAGCGGCTGGAGACGCGCTTGCCCGTGCAACACCAGCGCGGCCAGTTGGTCCAGAGGAGACTTGCTGCAGTCGACTTTCCCCAGACTGGACGCGCGCACCACCCGCGCTTTCTTCTCCTGCTGCTTCAGGTGAGTCGTGGCCAGTTTCAGGATGCCCATTCCCGCTTTGGAGAGCGTGCTGACTTTGAACCCGGTCGCGCAGAGTCTCTGCGTCGCGTTTTTGTACGCGAGGAGGACGCTGGGCGAGCTGGTACCGGGCAGAGCGCGAGACTGGTGCTGCTGGATCACCGCGTTCACACTTTGGTGCAGGTCCATGACGGGACTCATTGAGGCCCGGTGAAATTGTTGTAGTGTGTGTGTTTGATATATCCACGAGCTCTGCGTAAAGTGCCGTACCTCTGTGCGATCTGACAGCGCGCGACTTATATACACACGCCGCGTCATCCGTGTGATTGACAGGTGCGCAGCGCGTGTACCCGAAAGGAACAAAACGTTTTGCGGAACAGTGCACGATGATGAAGGCGAATCTTATGAGCGCTGCTTATGGCTGCGATAAAGTGTGTTTAAAGAGAGTTAGGACAGAACAAATTATCATCAATAAAGAAAACTGAAGAAAAAAAGAAAGAAAGAACCTACATTCCTATTTTAAGGGAATGGAGAATGAACGTAGTTCAAATTTGACCCAATAAGTGACAGGGATGGTAAAAAGAGAAATCTTTCAAAACAACAATAATCATCAATAAAGAAAATAGGGAAAAAAGTTGAAATAGCTAATTACATTTATTTCAAGGGAAAATGTTGAAGAATTAATGTATTTTATTAAAATAGCCTATATTATTCATGTATTCAATATTTATTTAGGATATTCTGACCCGATATTTGCACAGGATGTCTCATCCGGGATGTCTCCCTACTTTTATTAATTTGAGAAAATGTTGTTTCTAAACATGAATTTTTGGGTAACAAATTAAATCACCAAACGTGACTTTTTAAAATAAAGGCTAACAATAGCCTAATAATAGGCTAAACACCTAATTCAGACACGAGGGTCTGAAGGGTTTTAAAGTGTCCTTGTCACATGACTCAAAATGGCTGTGTTGAATGGATAAGCTCATCATAGATAGGCTATTTTAATAGGACTTTTTGAAATATCAGAAATAAGTTATAACTAAACTTAAACCATTTAATATAAATCATAGAGCGCCATTTAAAAAATAAATAAATTGTATTTTAATAGCTTATTTCTTCCAAACAAATATTCGCGTCGCCATTGATCTATAAGCAAATCGATACATTTGGAAAACACGCCATTTATTTCCCCTAATTTGAATCTACAGCAGAGAAATGCGGTAAATATGATTTTAAGACGTACCTCAGCTCACCTGTGTCAGTTTTTCGCGATGACTGGATCCTGCTCGGCGTGCGCGCGCAACCCGTTGCTACGACAACGCACACGCGCGTGGAAGTGTCTGTAAACAGAGACAGCAGGAAGTCTTCAACTTCATCTTCAACTTTCTGGGTTTTACTGATGAAATAGTTCCTGGGTTTCTAAGACGATCTTCACCAACATATATATTTTTCTAAAGTGTGTTTGTTTGTAGATGGTTCATTGGCTTCATGGCGAGTGTCGGGAAATCAACCAGCAAGATCAATAAAAGAGAAACGAGGCCTCGTACTCCATCAGGTATTACCCATATCAATATTATTAACTTCTTGACATGTGTAACGTTAATCATTCTACATGATCAAATCGAGACTCATGATTCAGTTTATTTAGTGATTACCGTGAGTCAGGTGATCACGTCACGTGAGCAGATGAGAGACATGTTTGATCATTTCTAAGTTACATTTCTACACAAGCTGTGTGTATAGAAGCTGTGACAGAGAGATTGGAGTGTGTTTGAATGTAAGTATGACTGGTCACTCTCACTTTCAGAGAGAGAGAGAATGATGATGATGATGATGATGATGATGATGGGTCCACCTGTGAAACTGCAGGATGTTCTGACACCTCACAGAGACTGGGGTTTACCATGGCAACGGCGACCCGTCTCTAAACACTGAGGTTGTGCAGGCTTATATAACGACAGGTCAACTCTACATGACTGAGTGTGTATGTGTGTGTGTGTGTGTGTGTGTAGAGGAGAGTACACTGGGTCAGCTGGAGTCGGTGTAGAGTGTACAGTGACTCAGTGTTGTCTCTCCTCTGAGTGGGCTCTCTCTCTCTCTCTCTCTCTCTCTCTCTCTCTTCAATTTTATATTAAACATTTTCTTTTTTATATTTCAAACTTCTTAGTTTCTTTTTTACACATTTCTGTAATTTATAATAAAACAATTGTTATATTGTGCTAATATTCATTTTATATACTACATTTTTCAAATAATTCAAATCATTATATTATAATATAATCATATGACATATCGCAATACTTTGTTATATTTTACAAATGCAAATGTTATTTGACTATAGAGGGTATGCGCGTGACGTCACCGTCGGCCTGCAGTTCCTCACAGCGAGTGGCAAAAAGACTGAGCGGCTGTATATGTGTTCAGCGTGAATGCCGGGAAAAACAAACACAACACATATAAAGTGAGATAGAGCTTTGAGATTGACTGTACAACTAGATTTGACAAAAAAATCGGAGGTATATTTGTACAGACTGCTATAGAAAGAGGAGCAAATGGATCGCTGCAATTCACAGAAACAACTGGACTTTGCAGTTATCATTTTCTGTCAATATGCTGAATTTAGCTGTAAAACCACCCATATATTTTGTAACAACTCATCAATTAAATATTTATCATTGCATATTCTGCATTATTGGATGTTTTTTAATAAACACTGACCAAAAAAAAAAAAAAAACTATAAAGTTTTAGGGCCTATATATATGATTATATATATAGGCTATATACAGTGATGTGAATAAGTTTGGACACCCATGCTAAAGTTGCCTAAAAAGAGGAATAAAAAATCATCTTTTGGATATTGATCTTAATGCCTTAATTAGAAAAATGAGGAAAACTCCAACCTTTAAGGACACCAATTTTCTTTGTGAATGAATAATGTATCATAAATAAATAAATGTTTTTTCCTTAAAATAATATGCATCCTGATAAAGTTCCCATTTATATTATATTTTTTTAAATATAATTCAACACAATGGAATTTTTTTTATTGCACTAATGTTATTTTTATATCCTAATTTTTTCATTTTAAATAAAAAAAGGTAATATTTAAGTGCTATTTTATATAAACCCTATATATATATATAACATTTTTCCATGTCTTCAAATTACATTTCATTATTTTTTCGCCATTTCTGTAGTATTATATAACAAATTGTTACATTGTGCTAATGTAATTTTTAATATCCTACTTTCTTTATATCCTAAGTTTTTTTTCATTAAGTTACAAAAATGGTCTTATTTAATTAATTCATGAATATGTGTGTGTGTGTATCCAGACTGAAGCTCCTGACGGTTACAGACGTTCTATAAGCCAGTGTGTGTTTATGACGGCTATAAACGTATAAGCCGCTCGTTTGCATTCAGTGTGTGTGTGTGTGTGTGCCTGCAAGGTGTTTCCACAGCCAGTGTGTGTGTCTGCGCCTGCGAGGTGTTTCCACACCTGGTGTGTGTGTGTGAAGCTGCTGTTGTAGCTGATGGATTATCAGATATCATAATTTCCCCTCGTCTGTCTGACACTCACACCAGCGCGTGTGTTTCCCTTCTTTTGTTGATCAGTGTTTTGTCTTCTGTGGACGATAAGAGACGTCTGTCTCTTAATGACACATTGTCATGATCGTGTAGCTGCGGGTGTTTAGGGTTTGTGCTGGATTGATCAGACGTATATACCGGTAATGATGTGCGGAATATGATGAATATTTGATGAGGAAATTCATACTATTTACACTACAGTTTAAACGATCATTGAATAAATGTGTTCTTCTGAACCTTCCAAAAGTATCTCAGTTTCCACAAACATATGAATCAACATTAATAATAATCATAAATGTTTCCTGAGCATCAGATCCTCATATTAGAGTGATTATTAGAGGATCATGTGACACTGAAGTGGAAATTCTGTATATTATTCACATAGGACACAGTTATTTTAAATTATAACAATATTACACTATTTTTTGATGAAATAAATACAGTCTTGGTGAGCAGTTTGTGCTGTGTGTGTTTGTGCTCATCAGCTGTGCTTCTGTCCTCTCGTGTGTGTGTGTGTGTGTGTGTGTCAGACAAGAAGCTCCTGAGAAGCTGCGAGGAGATCTCCTCCTCCTCATCATCATCATCATGTGTGTGTGAGGAAGACCACAGCCTGGCTCTGAACGGACATGACATCCAGAGTCTGGCCATCACAACACAAGACCTGGAGCGGGTGCGTTTACACACACACATCACATTTCTGGAGGATCATGTGACTCAGCTTTATCACAGGAATAAATTACACTTTAAAATATGTTATAGATTGAAATAATATTTCACAATTTTTTCATTTTATTAAAAAAATTCAATATTTAAGTGCGATTTTATATAAACCCTATATATATATATAACATTTTTCCATGTTTTCAAATTACATTTCATTATTTTTTCGCCATTTCTGTAGTATTATATAACAAATTGTTACATTGTGCTAATGTTATTTTAATATCCTACTTTCTTTGTTAAGTTTTTTTTTTCATTAAAATACAAAAATGGTCTTATTTAATTAATTCATTAATGTGTGTGTGTGTGTGTGTGTGTGTGAAGCTCCTGACGGTTATAGACGTTCTATAAGCCAGTGTGTGACACATGTGACACAGCTTTATCACAGGAATAAATTACACTTTAAAATATATTATAGATTGAAATAATATTTCACAATATTACAGTTTTATGTATTTTGAATCAAATAAATGCAGCCTTGGTGAGCAGAAGAGTTAGACGTGTGTGTGTGTGTGTGTGTGTGTGTGCAGCTGCGAGTCCCTAAACCCCCGACTGATTCCCAGAAGCCCAAACCCATGATCCGTGTGTACGTGCGGAAGACACGCCCCCCGGACGAGGTCGGCAGAAAGGTCCAGGTTACCGTAGCGAGGCCCCTCCCACAAGACGACCAGACCCCGCCTCCCTCATTTGAATACGCAGGTGTGTGGGCGTGGCTTTGAACAGGAAGGTCAGTGTGATCGGTGTGTTTGACTCTCTCTCTGCGCCTGAAGGTCCCGGGGGGCCGCGGTTTGACGCGCAGGGGATGGTGCTGCCGCACAGCATTCTGGGAAGCCTGGAGGATTTCAGAACAGAGATGCAGCTGCGAGGCGAGGCGGAGGTGAGAGTCGCGGGAACTGCACGTTTATGCTGTTTTCAGTACGTTGAATGAAATCCAATACTTGTTTCGGGGTGCTGACTCCAGCACGACACTTTTGCTCTCAAAATATGGTTCATTTCATTGCATTTTTGCTTTCCACAAGCGTTTGTATGGTATCTTATTGACCAATGACACTGCCACAAGCTGAATTGTTTCTGCTAAATTGCAGATGTTGTGAAAAAGCTTATTTTGTTCATTGTAAACTTGTTTTTTGACACTTAAACAAACTCGTTTACATTTTGAATAGTTATTTTTTGTCATTAAAACCTATTTTTGCATATTTGACTGCTTTTATGTATGTTGATGAGTTAATCAATGCTGATGCATGTAAATAATTTGAAAGATCTTCATTCTTATTTTGCGGAACGGTTTTATTGATATTTTTGAACTCGTCGTCATCATCATCCTCATCAAGATGCAGAACATTTATCCATAAATGTTGTTCTCTTCAGCTTGTAGAGCGGATCCCAGTCGCACAGGAACTCCTCCTTCTAGTGGTGGCGACTGAGAGTGACAGCGATGATGTAGCCGAAACGGGGCGGAGCCACCAGAGCCACGCCCTCCAGCACTGGCACCATCACATGACCGAGAGACGCAGACAGCAGGACTTCATTTCACGTGAGTCCGTCTGTCGTGTTTCTCGGTACGTGTATCTGTGTACTAAAGATATTAATGAAATACTCCTGAAATTAGCATTAAATCGCCTAAATTTATTACATTCACATTTTGTTCTGCTTTCGAAAGAAATTCGAATTTTAGTCGTTATTTAACAAAAAAAAAATTTGGTTATAAAGTTCATTTTAAATTCTCATATCATAAATTCTGTGCTGAATTTAAATGTTTTGCACTAGGGGTGTCGCAATATCGCAATACACAAAATGCAACAATTTGACAATGTGTATTGTGTTTAGTTCACCCAGAATAAAGATTTAGTGTCAGTACTACTACTAATGTTGAATATATTGCATAATAATGCAATGTGTCCTGATAATGCCAGATGTCTGATGTTACCAGTAAAAAGTGTTTTCAATATATCTAGTCAGAGTGAAAGCATATTCGTCTAAAATGATTCAGTATTTTCTGCTTGAGAATCACGAATATTGTTATTCTGTTGTCTCTATTGGCCCGTGCTTTGGGTTATCAGTGCCAACTCCAAGACTATTCACTTACACCCACGTAGCATTGCAGTAATATCTCATCGTGATGTGTGTCGTATCATGACATGAGGGTCTCGCTACACCCCTCGTCCCTGTAACTCTCTGAGCTGTTGAACTGCTTTCTCTGACTGTGGATCTTTATATAAGTGTGGGGTCGTCTCTGGAGGAGCGATGAGTCAGAAGTGATGAGACACACACTCTCCCTCCACAGCCACCCGGTTAGATGCTGTATCTGTGTGTGTTATGATGATATACACTGTGTGTGTTTCAGGGCTCCTGCAGAAGCCAGCGGCGTCTCTGCTGATGACCCGCTCCGGCAGATTCAGACGCATGCAGGAACACAGGAAACTGATACACAGAGGCCATGTGAGGATCCACTCTTATACTGTCTTCACACACACACACTGAAACACACACTGGACAAAATGCTTTAGATTTAAATGTTGTGTGCAGTTTGCTCTGGTAATGAAGTTTTGAGATCTGGTCATTTTATTCTAGGCTTAATTATATACGTAGCGTTCAACAGTTTGTGATCGGCTCTCTTCGACTCGCCAATTTGATCAAAAATAAAATAATATTGTAAAATATTTGCATAATTTAATGTAACTATTTCCTGTTGTAACACAAATGATGAATTTTCAGCATCAAAGCGAAGAGAAGATGGTGATCTACTTATTTCCAAAAATAAGTCATTTTTATTTAGACAGTGCTTGATTCAGTTCAATAACTGTGATGTCACACATAAAGGCTAATATATCACTCATTAATAACAGCTAGATAATGCTAGTAGTGATCATAGCCAGTCAGTTTGGATGAAGTCACAGTGTTTGATGGGCTGTCCTGCGTTCAGTGTGTGCTAATGTGTTCCCGGTGTGTGTGTGTGTGTGTTCAGGATCGGCGCGTGGGCCGTGAGTTCTGGAGTCTTCCGCAGCGTTACGGAGACGAGATGAGCGGGATCACAGCCACTCTCACACAGAGCGAGAGAGGAAACCCTCCAGACGTCACACGCATCAGACACACACTCGCCACGCGCCTCGAGTCCGGTGAGCGTCCAACAAACGTCTGAGTAATGTGGGCGGGCCAGTGAGTAATGTGGGCGGGCCAGTGAGTAATGTGGGCGGGCCAGTGAGTAATGTGGGCGAACCAATGAGTAATGTGGGCGGGCCAGTGAGTAATGTGGGCGGGCCAGTGAGTAATGTGGGCGGGTCAGTGAGTAATGTGGGCGGGTCAGTGAGTAATGTGGGCGGGCCAGTGAGTAATGTGGGGGGTCAGTGAGTAATGTGGGCGGGTCAGTGAGTAATGTGGGCGGGCCAGTGAGTAATGTGGGCGGGCCAGTGAGTAATGTGGGCGGGTCAGTGAGTAATGTGGGGGGTCAGTGAGTAATGTGGGCGGGCCAGTGAGTAATGTGGGCGGGTCAGTGAGTAATGTGGGCGGGCCAGTGAGTAATGTGGGCGGGTCAGTGAGGAATGTGGGCGGGTCAGTGAGTAATGTGGGCGGAGTGAGTAATGTGGGCGGGTCAGTGAGTAATGTGGGCGGGTCAGTGAGTAATGTGGGCGGGTCAGTAAGTAATGTGGGCGGGTCAGTAAGTAATGTGGGCAGGCCAGTGAGGAATGTGGGCGGGCCAGTGAGTAATGTGGGCGGGTCAGTGAGTAATGTGGGCAGGCCAGTGAGTAATGTGGGCGGACCAGTGAGTAATGTGGGCGGGCCAGTGAGTAATGTGGGCGGGTCAGTAAGTAATGTGGGCGGGTCAGTGAGTAATGTGGGCGGGCCAGTGAGTAATGTGGGCGAACCAGTGAGTAATGTGGGCGGGTCAGTGAGTAATGTGGGCGGGTCAGTGAGTAATGTGGGCGGGTCAGTAAGTAATGTGGGCGGGTCAGTAAGTAATGTGGGCAGGCCAGTGAGTAATGTGGGCGGGCCAGTGAGTAATGTGGGCGGGTCAGTGAGTAATGTGGGCAGGCCAGTGAGTAATGTGGGCGGGCCAGTGAGGAATGTGGGCGAACCAGTGAGTAATGTGGGCGGGTCAGTGAGTAATGTGGGCGGGTCAGTGAGTAATGTGGGCGGGTCAGTAAGTAATGTGGGCGGGTCAGTAAGTAATGTGGGCAGGCCAGTGAGTAATGTGGGCGGGCCAGTGAGTAATGTGGGCGGGTCAGTGAGTAATGTGGGCAGGCCAGTGAGTAATGTGGGCGGACCAGTGAGTAATGTGGGCGGGCCAGTGAGTAATGTGGGCGGGTCAGTAAGTAATGTGGGCGGGTCAGTGAGTAATGTGGGCGGGCCAGTGAGTAATGTGGGCGGGTCAGTGAGTAATGTGGGCGGGCCAGTGAGGAATGTGGGCGAACCAGTGAGTAATGTGGGCGGGTCAGTGAGTAATGTGGGCGGGTCAGTGAGTAATGTGGGCGGGCAAGTGAGTAATGTGGGCGGGTCAGTGAGTAATGTGGGCAGGCCAGTGAGTAATGTGGGCGGACCAGTGAGTAATGTGGGCGGGCCAGTGAGTAATGTGGGCGGGTCAGTAAGTAATGTGGCGGGTCAGTGAGTAATGTGGGCGGGCCAGTGAGTAATGTGGGCGGGCCAGTGAGTAATGTGGGCGGGTCAGTGAGTAATGTGGGCGGGCCAGTGAGGAATGTGGGCGAACCAGTGAGTAATGTGGGCGGGTCAGTGAGTAATGTGGGCGGGTCAGTGAGTAATGTGGGCGGGCAAGTGAGTAATGTGGGCGGGTCAGTGAGTAATGTGGGCGGGCCAGTGAGTAATGTGGGCGGGCCAGTGAGTAATGTGGGCGGGCCAGTGAGTAATGTGGGCGGGCCAGTGAGTAATGTGGGGGGTCAGTGAGTAATGTGGGCGGGCCAGTGAGTAATGTGGGCGAACCAGTGAGTAATGTGGGCGGGCCAGTGAGTAATGTGGGGGGTCAGTGAGTAATGTGGGCGGGCCAGTGAGTAATGTGGGGGGTCAGTGAGTAATGTGGGCGGAGTGAGTAATGTGGGCGGGCCAGTGAGTAATGTGGGCGGGCCAGTGCATAATGTGGGGGGTCAGTGAGTAATGTGGGGGGTCAGTGAGTAATGTGGGCGGGCCAGTGAGTAATGTGGGCGGGCCAGTGAGTAATGTGGGGGGTCAGTGAGTAATGTGGGCGGAGTGAGTAATGTGGGCGGGCCAGTGAGTAATGTGGGCGGAGTGAGTAATGTGGGCGGGTCAGTGAGTAATGTGGGCGGAGTGAGTAATGTGGGCGGGCCAGTGAGTAATGTGGGCGTAATGTGGGCGGGTCAGTGAGTAATGTGGGCGGGCCAGTGAGTAATGTGGGCGGGTAAGTGAGTAATGTGGGCGGGTCAGTGAGTAATGTGGGCGTAATGTGGGTGGGTCAGTGAGTAATGTGGTAGGGGTAAGTGAGTAATGTGGGCGGGCCAGTGAGTAATGTGGGCGTAATGTGGGCGGGTCAGTGAGTAATGTGGGCGGGCCAGTGAGTAATGTGGGCGTAATGTGGGCGGGTAAGTGAGTAATGTGGGCGGGTCAGTGAGTAATGTGGGCGTAATGTGGGCGGGTCAGTGAGTAATGTGGGCGTAATGTGGGCGGGTAAGTGAGTAATGTGGGCGGGTCAGTGAGTAATGTGGGCGTAATGTGGGCGGGTCAGTGAGTAATGTGGTAGGGGTAAGTGAGTAATGTGGGCGGGTAAGTGAGTAATGTGGGCGGGTCAGTGAGTAATGTGGGCGTAATGTGGGCGGGTCAGTGAGTAATGTGGTAGGGGTAAGTGAGTAATGTGGGCGTAATGTGGGCGGGTCAGTGAGTAATGTGGGCGGGTCAGTGAGTAATGTGGGCGGGTCAGTGAGTAATGTGGGCGTAATGTAGGCGGGCCAGTGAGTAATGTGGGCGTAATGTAGGCGGGCCAGAGAGTAATGTGGGCGTAATGTGGGCGGGTCAAGGAGTAATGTGGGCGCAATGTGGGCGGGTCAGTTAGTAATGTGGTAGGGGTAAGTGAGTAATGTGGGCGGGTCAGTGAGTAATGTGGGCGTAATGTGGGCGGGTCAGTGAGTAATGTGGTAGGGGTAAGTGAGTAATGTGGGCGGGTCAGTGAGTAATGTGGGCGTAATGTGGGCGGGTCAGTGAGTAATGTGGGCGGGTCAGTGAGTAATGTGGGCGGGTCAGTGAGTAATGTGGGCAGGCCAGTGAGTAATGTGGGCGGGTCAGTGAGTAATGTGGGCGGGTCAGTGAGTAATGTGGGCGTAATGTGGGCGGGCAGTGAGTAATGTGGGCGGGTCAGTGAGTAATGTGGGCGTAATGTAGGCGGGCCAGTGAGTAATGTGGGCGTAATGTGGGCGTAATGTAGGCGGGCCAGAGAGTAATGTGGGCGTAATGTGGGCGTAATGTAGGCGGGCCAGAGAGTAATGTGGGCAACGCCCCTGCTTAGATGTCTCGAGACCTTGTGTTTCCCCCATCTCATGTCACTGTGTGAACCAACCCTTAACTCTCTTTAGCCGTTTTTACTTCACTGGAGTGGTTTGATGTTTGGTGACTTTAGTGGCATCGCTAAGTGAAAGGCTTATACAGTCACACTCTTCGTTTGTCTTCTTAATATTCGGTCTAAAGGTTCAAATTCTTCCATATTTAGCAAGTTCGATTTGTCTGACTATTTCAAATGTCAGGCTTAATTAAATTTCACATTTAAAAAGATCTCATCGACGTTACATAACTATAACAACAGCGACAGTCGGCAGACCTGTGTGTGTGGACTGAACATCAGTTTAATCACAGATGAATGCCTGTACTTCACACATGTTGAATCCTGGGTGGTTATAGGCTGTTACATGACTGATGTGAGATCAGACTGCAGTCGACGAGCTGTAATGAATAACAAGGTCTTTTGCAGATTGATTCAGTCAAAGGAGTGGAAATCGCTTTGTCTGCCTTTTCATCAATACACAATCACCACATACACAACACACAGATTACAGGAGAGCCAGTGTAATTCTCTCTGGATGTGTTTGTTTGGTGTTTATATGTAATGGTGTGTGTGTGTTTATATGTAATGGTGTGTGTGTTTATAGGTAATGTGGTGTGTGACACGCTCAACAGCGGCTGGGATCAGAGTTTGTACCTTCAGCAGCGACTTCATCAACTCAAGGACACACGCGGAGACTTCAGTCCTGTAAGACACACACACACACACACACATCATCATTTACATGAGTAACGTTCTCATCCTGCTATCTCTAAGCGAGTGTGTGTTGTCCAGGATCAGTTGTTATAGACGGATCATCACCCTGTTCTCGCTCTCAGAGGCTCTTAATGACACGGGACTGCAAAGACTTCTGGGAATCATTTCTCCAGTACATGCAACGTTTCCAAATGATGCATCTAAAAGCATGCTTTTGAACAAGAGCAGTGTGTGTGTGTGTGTGAGTGATAATGACTGCAGGAGATGCTCGGATCTGCTCTCCAGGGCTGATGGGAACACATGTGCTGAATACTAATACACATCACACAGTAACAACAGCATCAGATCTGGTGTGTGTGTGTGTGTTGTTCTGGTCGGACTCTCTGTTCTTTCCGTGGTCTCAATCGCAGCTCATCATCAGATCTGGTTTCTAAAATAAAGCTCTGGGACGATCATGATGTTCCTCTGCAGTGTGTGTGTGTGTGTGTGTGTGTGTGTGTTGAACGTCCTGAACTCAACATCTGCTCCTCTGACCAGAGTTATTCTCCGTCTCACACACAGTCTGAGAAGTATTCCAGTTCACATTCACGTCTCTGATCTGTGTGTGTGTGTGTGTGTGTACTCTCAGGAGGTCGAGGGTCTGGAGGTCATCGGCTCTGCGGCTCGTTCTCCTCCGCCGGACGAGAGAGAGGAAGAGGAGGATGAAGAAGAAGAGCAGAAGGAAAACCAGTACGGCTCTGTGACCTCACTCTCCTCCTCGTGAAGTGGATGACGCTCATGTTCTCTCTCTCTCTCTCTCTCAGAGACCCTCTGGCGCTGTTTGATGACGTCATCAGCGATGTTGATCTGCGTCCCGCTCTGAGGGTCAGTGGAGATCTGGCGCTCTGGACTCGCATCACTTCCTCTCAGCAGGTGAAGAGCAGATCTTATATCACGTATGAGTCAATGTGGACCAGAACTGTAGATATGATCACGATACATCAGCTCATGAAAGTAAATGCAGATACTTTGGGAGTTTAAACATATGTGGATTTGGAATGTTGGAATGTTGGAATGTCGGAATGTTGCTCGGCAACCATAGAGAATGTAATCCTTGAACTTAACTGATACATTTATTATTTTTTTTTAATAGTGTGTGTGTGTTTGTGTGTGTGTGTTCAGGGGCAGAAGGGTATCTCTGCCCGGCTGATGTTCGAGACGGTCACGGGACAGAGTGTGAGCGCTGATCTGGAGTTAAAGAATGAAGGAAGCACCGTGATTTACTACAGCTGGGAGAGACTGACACACACACACACTCGCACTCAACACTTCTACTTTAACAGCACTACAGGTATACACACTCTCTCTCTCTCACTCTCTCTCTCTCTCACACACACATACACACACTTACTGATGTGTTTGACTCTCTCTGTCAGCGGTGATCTTACCCGGCAGCACTAAACGCATCAGCTTCATCTTCAAGAGTGTGTGTGCGGGGATCATGACTGAGGTGTGGCGTCTGAACACACACCCGGTGCTGATGGGCGGAGCTTCAGTGCTGGTCACTCTGAGGGGCGTGGCCTTAGATCAGGATAAGAACGCACAGCAGAGAGCGGCACTCCAGGTGTGTGTGTGTAGAGATATATCAGGGGTGTAACGGTACATCATGTATTTCCTCCTGAACAGGAGGCTAATGGATATTTAAATATCGTTTGAGTGCATATTACTAGGATATTGGCCGTTTATTAGTACTTATAAAGCACATATTAGGCTAATTCTGCTTGATCATATTTGACATCCCTTATATATATATATATATATAATTATAAGATATATTGTTGAACTGACCCTGTGTGAGCAGCAGGAGCTGGAGAGGAAAGCGTGTGTGTCGTTGTGTCAACGGATCCTCATGGATCTCATCAGAGGAGTTCGTTCTCCAGAGCGTCCCATATCTCCTGATGATCTCTACATCACAGAGGAGCAGCTGTTCCTCACACACAACCCTGGTGTACGTCATCACCGTAAAACACACACACACACACAACCCTGGTGTACGTCATCACCGTAAAACACACACACACAACCCTGGTGTACGTCATCACCGTAACACACACACACACACAACCCTGGTGTACGTCATCACCGTAAAACACACACACACAACCCTGGTGTACGTCATCACCGTAACACACACACACACACAACCCTGGTGTACGTCATCACCGTAAAACACACACACACACAACCCTGGTGTACGTCATCACCGTAAACACACACACACACAACCCTGGTGTACGTCATCACCGTAACACACACACACACACAACCCTGGTGTACGTCATCACCGTAAAACACACACACACACACAACCCTGGTGTACGTCATCACCGTAACACACACACACACACAACTATGATGATCTCTACATCACAGACAAGCAGCTGTTCCTCACACACAACCCTGGTGTACGTCATCACCGTAACACACACACACACACAACCCTGGTGTACGTCATCACCGTAACACACACACACACACACACAACTCTGATGATCTCTACATCACAGACGAGCAGCTGTTCCTCACACACAACCCTGGTGTACGTCATCACCGTAAAACACACACACACACAACCCTGGTGTACGTCATCACCGTAACACACACACACACACAACCCTGGTGTACGTCATCACCGTAACACACACACACACACACACAACCCTGGTGTACGTCATCACCGTAACACACACACACACACACAACCCTGGTGTACGTCATCACCGTAACACACACACACACACACAACCCTGGTGTACGTCATCACCGTAAAACACACACACACAACCCTGGTGTACGTCATCACCGTAACACACACACACACACAACCCTGGTGTACGTCATCACCGTAAAACACACACACACACAACCCTGGTGTACGTCATCACCGTAACACACACACACACACACACACAACTCTGATGATCTCTACATCACAGACGAGCAGCTGTTCCTCACACACAACCCTGGTGTACGTCATCACCGTAACACACACACACAACCCTGGTGTACGTCATCACCGTAACACACACACACACACAACCCTGGTGTACGTCATCACCGTAACACACACACACACACACACACAAAACCCTGGTGTACGTCATCACCGTAACACACACACACACAAAACCCTGGTGTACGTTATCACCGTAACACACACACACACACACAACTCTGATGATCTCTACATCACAGACGAGCAGCTGTTCCTCACACACAACCCTGGTGTACGTCATCACCGTAACACACACACACACAACCCTGGTGTACGTCATCACCGTAACACACACACACACAACTATGATGATCTCTACATCACAGACGAGGAGCTGTTCCTCACACACAACCCTGGTGTACGTCATCACCGTAACACACACACACACACATACACAACTATGATATATCTACATCACAGACGAGAAGCTGTTCCTCACACACAACCCTGGTGTACGTCATCACCGTAACACACACACACACACACACACACACATACACAACTATGATGATCTCTACATCACAGACGAGAAGCTGTTCCTCACACACAACCCTGGTGTACGTCATCACCGTAACACACACAACCCTGGTGTCCTCACACACAACCATGGTGAACGGCATCACCGTAACACACAAACACACACACACACACACACACTTAGCCCTGGTGCATGTCATCACCGTAACACACACACAGAGCCCTGATGTACGTCATCACAGAAACACACACACACACTCACACACACAACCCTGGTGTACGTCATCACAGTAACACACACACACACAGCCCTGATGTAAGTCATCACAGTAACACACACACACACACACACACAGGCCTGGTGTACGTTATCACAGCCACACACACACACAACCCTGGTATACGTCATCACCGTAACACACACACACCGTTCTGTTATAAGGACAGGCCTGATATAATAGAACTTATCTATCTATATATATATATTATATAGAAGATCATTACATGTAATACCCATAATGCTGTTCCATTGAGTGATATTTGCCTTGCATAACCTTTCATATAAAAGGACATCCTCGTAACAGTCAGTTCCTGTGCAGCAGTCTTACACTCGGTGATTGTGCAAACTCTCATTATTTATTTCCATTTATAAGCATTAAAGACGAGGCCGGAATGATTAGGTCACATCTACACACACACACACACACACTTCAGCTTAACACTCATTTTCCAGACCTCTCGTTGTTCGCCCAAGCTTGTAAACAAACACACCCACACACACATAGAGAATAGCGGTGATGATAATTATCTCCATTTAGCGTGTAATTGCTTGAGTTGTGTGCTGTAGTCAGGAGCATGACTGAGGGTCCCGGTGTGGCTCAGTGTGTGTGTGTGTGTGTCAGGTCCCTCGTGTTCCCGCTGAAGAACAGCCCCATTGAACCCGGGAACGCACAGATCATCCTCACATTATACAGTTAGCCGACACATGTTGTTCCTCTTAGCAGAGCTGATGGTTACAGTTTTAGTGACTTTCTGTGAGTGTGTGTGTGTGTGTTGTTCTTCCACAGGTGCAGTACCAGCGTGGGCCTGTGAAGGCGCTGCGGGGCTTATGGGCGCAGGTCAGCGGGTCAGCACACACACCTGTGTGGGATCTGTCGTTACACGCACTCAGACAGGTGCTTATCAACACACTCTCCTCGTCTGCTTGAGGATGAACTTTTTAGGACCATTAAGAAATTTTTATATATATATATATATATATAATATGTATATATATCCTCATTGTCTAAAGTTAGTTAATGGTCACAAATAAATTATATAAATTATGTCTCTCTCTTTTATTAGAACATGTTTAATTTTTATCTTCAATTTTTGTTATTTAATTTGTATTTTATGGTTTAATTATCACCTCATGACCCTCAGTTTGGGAAACCCTGCTTTAATAATTAATTAGTAATAATCCTAAGCAATTTTAATTGTTAAAATATGACAAATTACAGAACAAATTGGAACTGAATTTTACTTAAAGCCTATTTTTATGATCTCCATTCATTGTGACATTTACATCAAGCACATTTATCTGGCAAATTCCCGTTTTCACAATTCACATAAAAAGAAAATATCTCGTAACTTAATTGTATAACACAGTGGCACGGACACCTTAAAATAAAGTGTCACCATGTTTTATTCACCCATCATAAACACAGTGTGTGTGTGTATATTAGTATTGAATAACACAGCGCTCTGTGTAAGTGTGAAGTTCATCCTTTACTCTTCTCAGTCCAAACTCATGTCTTTCTTCTGTGGGACACAATCTTCCACACTTCCAACACAATGACCGGTCAAAGTGACCCTAAAGCTCACATCAGACGAGCATGCAGCCTAGTAAACGCCTCAGTGTGTGTGTGTGTCCTATAGGCTGTGCTGTCCGTCCCTGAGACACACAGTGAGATCAGAGAGACGTGTCTGAGCCAGTTTAACTCCCTGATGCTGGAGCTGCAGCGGCCACACACACACACACCAGCCGTGACATCACACATCATCAGGTCATACACACACAGATGATTCATTTCTAATCCATTACAGTGAGTATTACAGTGACCATTGTGTGTGTGTGTGCAGTCTGCAGTTATGGAGGGAACTGCTGGACGGTTTGGTCACAGAGTCTGTGAGATTGAGACACAAACTGGGGCTTCCAGAGAACAACACCTGGAGTGACACGACACACAACCTCCACACCTGTGAGTACACACACACACACACACACACACACACATTGAGGATGATCTAACATTTAACATGATCCGCAGTGGAGCAGAAGGAAGAGGAGGACAGGACAGGAGGCAGGCCGGGAAGAGCGAGAGCAGAGGTGTGTGTGTGTGTGTGTGAGCTGTGATGAGTGCTGCTCACCAGCAGAGGACAGCAGATGCCATCACACCTATAGCACTCAGTCTCCAGAAGTTCAGAGCTATTAAAATGTACAAGCTAATTTATACTTTTAACTTAAAATGATCATGTAATGTCATCTCAACTTACATATTTTAGTAGTAGAAACTTGCTAGCTAATTCAGTGAATGTTAACTTGCTAACTGGAATCGCAATACTTTTGATAGCCTGCGGGTGTATAAACACTCATACTGACGTTCTACACTCTGATACGCTGTGTGTTCTTCCTCGCGCCTGCCGTATGTTTTCAGTTGTTTTCAATGGGAGCGCCGTGTTTTTATAACGCCATGAGCGTAACGAGACGCTGAGCGTTTTTTTTTTTTTTTTTCACGCTAAGGCCGTGTGTCCACCAAAGCGTTTTTAGCCAGCTGAAAACGCTAGACCGTTTTTTTTTCCCGTTGAGACGTTTCGTTGCTATGATACAGAATATCCGCAGCAGTTTGAATGTTGTGACAGTTGGTCGGTGTGGTATTAGTCCCGCCCCTCCTCCACTGTGATTGGACGGCTGGGTAAAAAGTGACAGTGATGAGCGCTGCGTTTTATCCAAAGTTGAACATTTTTAACGTGTAAAAACGTCGGGCGCGAATCAGCGTGAAAAAAACGCTCAGCGCCTCGTTACGCTCATGGCGTTTAAAAAACGCGGCACTCCCATTGAAAACAATTGAAAACATACGCCAGGCGCGTGGAAAAACGCTTTGGTGGACGCACGGCCTTACTGGTCGCCGAGAGTTGAAACATTTTCAACTTTGGGTAAAACGCAGCGCTCGTCACTGTCACTTTTTACCCAGCCGTCCAATCACAGTGGAGGAGGGGCGGGGCTAATATCACACCGACCAACTGTCACAACATCATCAACCGGCAGAGCTAACCCAACAACATGGAGGAAAAATTAATTTGTAGTATGAAACAAATTATCTGCGAAATCAGTTACAAGTAAACCGTGCCGCGGATATTCTGTATCCTAGCAACGAAACGTCTCAGCGGAAAAAACGCTGCGCTGCCAAAACGCTCTCAAGCGCCACAGCTAGGCTAAACGCTTTGGTGGAAACACGGCTTTACACATATGTGCTTTTAAAACCGTGTGTGTGTGTGTGTGTGTGTGTGTGTGTGTGTTCAGGAACGCGGGAGCTTGAAAAAGCCAGAAGAGAGGAAGACGGACTCCAGCTTTACTACTGACCGTCCTGAACACACACACACACCGCAGGACAGATACAGACGGCTGCTGCACACACAGGCAAGACACACACACACACCTTTGTGATGTTTCAGCACACATTCACACATGCAGTCATAAGCTGATGATATGTGTGTGTGTTTCAGGTGTGTGTGCTGATGGAGAGGATGGTGGACTCTCTGTGTGATTTACTCCACGACTCTGAGACGCCACATTAACACACCTGTAGCTCTCTGGTGTCTGAAGTGTCAGATCTGGATTATATGTGTCCGCACATGTGCTTTTACTGTCCACAAGGAGTTTCCGGAAACACTTGAAACGGTTGTTTGACGGTGAGAGGATTCAGTAATATCATATGAAGGGTTGAGCTTGGAGTGGCTGAAGATGAATCTGGTTATTGTCACCAATCTCCGGTGGATGCTGTAACGCCACCTTGAGGGCCTTTGTTTATGACCGTCTGATGTATGCTATATTCTGATCAAAATAAACATGTTTGCAAGCAATAGTTGAATTGCACATATTTCAGTGTTTATAATATATGCATAAAAAATAACAAAAATGTAAATCTTTATGATACAGTACCAGACCAAACCTGTGTATAATTATTTTGTATATATAAATACATAAGCATGCATGTATATATTTAAGAATTATTTGTGCTTCTGTATATATATATATATATATATATATATATATAAATATTTTATTTATGAATAACACATTTTTCTTAAATTTATACATGCATGTGTGTGTATTTATATATACAAAATAATTATAAACAGCACACACATATATTATGTAAACACAGACTTTTATTTTGGATGCGATTAATCGCAATTAATTTTTGCACAGCCAATATATATATATATATATATATATATATATATATATATATATATATAACTGTTTTAAAGGGTTCAGTCACTGAAAACATCTGAGAGATTTCCGTCCTTCCATTGACAGCTTCTGCAACTACACTTTCTTCCATAGACTGTCAATGGAGGGACGGAAAGCTCTCGGGTTTCATCAAATATCTTCATTTGTGTTCATCGTGTTTGAAACGACATAAGGGTGAGTAATTAATGACAGAATTTTAATTGAGGGGTGAATTAACCCTTGAAATGCAGGTCCCGCGGGCATGGTTTACATTTAACAGTCGAAGCTGCAGTCTAACAACTTCTATAACTATTATACTTACATTTTTAAAACGAGTTGTAATTCTTTTTTAATCAGTTTTTAAATGGGATAGTTTACTTTTTTAAATACATTTTTGATATGTTTTAGCTTACTTCAAGGGCATCCAAGATGTAGGTGTCTTTGTTTCCACAGTATTTTCAATTTTACATTTATGAGTCATTAAATCATGTTTAATTTGGACTTCTCAGTGCATGCTCTTTGAGGAGATCCCCATATGACTGATAGACAACAACGATTTGACCTAACAATATTAAAATAAATACCGTGGAAACAAAGGCACCTACATCTTGGATGCCCTTGAGGTAAGATAAAACATGTCAAAAATTAATTTCAAAGTGACCTATCCCTTTAAGGCCCATTCTCTGGAGAATGCGATTGTAAATGAATAAAAGGCTATGAATTCCAGTTGGCTATCTTTAAATAAAGTAATTAAAACATTATTCAGTCACACAGAACCTGTCTATTTTCACATAGTCATGAAGTGATATGTTGTATTATTAATGTTTAGCTATAATAGTTAAACTCGGTGTATTTATTTAATAATTAATGCTAAGTAAACAGATGATGTTTGGGTGAGGGACTCCGGCAGTGAAGCGGTTAAAAGCTGAGTGCGCAGAGCATCTCTCTCTCTCTCTCTCTCTCTCTCTCTCTCTCTCTCTCTCTCTCTCTCTCTCTCTCTCTCTCTCTCTCTCTCTCTCTCTCTCTCTCTCTCTCTCTCTCTCTCTCTCTCTCTCTCTCTCTCTCTCTCTCTCTCTCTCTCTCTCTCTCTCTCTCTCTCGTGATGATGATGACGGCTCGTGCCTCCACACCGCATGCGTGAGTGTGTGTGTGTGTAGATGGATGGATGGATCATTTTTCTCTCCCACTCCACACCGAAAACACTGCAGCATCCACGCGATTCTCCTCCACAGATCGACGACAACACGAACAGATCATCCTCATCCCGGTGTGTCGGTCGGTATCCCAGGATTCATGTCGGTATCCCAGGGTTCAGTCGGTGTATCGGATCGCGGATGCTCACTGAGATGCTGCAGGTAAGCGGGATTCCTCTCCTCCATTAACCCTCACGTGCGTGTGTGTGTGTGTGTGTGTGTAGATCTGATAGATTGCAGATGTTCTGTGAGTGATCTGTGTCAGAAGAGCATCTTATGCTCAGGGCTGGAGCTGAAGGCCTACTGGAGCATCCACAGTCCTGAGGCTATTTCTGGTGCTCACTGATGCTGTGTGTGGGATCTGCTCATTATCTGGAGATTTAACAATCTTACATTAGAGGTCAGATTAGTGTGTTAGTTCTGTGTATGTCATCAGTAAAGGTGAAGCATATCTTCCTTCTGTGAAGCATCACGATTCTAAAGAATCATATAGAACACCAAATACGATTCTTTTAACTTGTAAAGAATCATAGAATGTTCTATGACGTTATAAGAACTTTGAAATGTGTCATAGACATCACGGAATTCAAAAGTGCTAAATGACATCATGTATGGAATGTTCTAAATCATAGAACTTGAAAAGGTTCTACTCTAGTTATGATATTTTATGATGGAACTCAAAGGGTTAAACGATGACAGTAATTTTATAAAGGTTCTACAATGATTTTATTAGGAAAGTGTAACTGAAACTGAACATTCTGTTGACTTATTTTCATAACATTCTAGGATTCATACATGGTGATGGAAAAAAAACTGTTCGCTCACAAAACCTTTTGAGCTCTATGAGAACTAATGCAAAAGGCAAACTTTTTTTTTTTTTTTTTTTGCAAGAGAACACAAACTTTCTTATGGAAAACACAAAACATTTACTCAGAGAACGCAAAAGCATTGACAAATATGTTTCCCTTCACCATGTCCCTTTAGGGGCTCCGTAGATTTGTAATGACCCAATGGTACATTATGTTGTTGAATATGCATATGGATTCATCTACTATAAACCGTCTACATTATCATTATCACCATCAAACAATACTATGCTAAGAACATTGACATAAACATAAAAATTTTCAATAACATTGCAGAACTGAAAAAGGACATCTGACATGAAAAAGGACAAAGGACATCTGGGACAGGAGACAAAATGACCATCGATAAACTGATCCGGTTAAATCCAGTTTGGCAAGTCAGCAGTGGGTTACTATAACCCAGCAGGTTGGGTAGTTTGTCAGAGAAACAACATAACCCAGCAGTGGGTTACACAACAATGTGAATATTACCCAACTGGCAGAACCCAGCAGTCTGGGTAAAAAAAAATAACCCAGCTAATTTTAGAGTGTATGAACTTGAAGATGTTCTACTGTGACTTTATTAGGACTTATAATGTTTTATGATGTCATAGTGACTTAAGGTTCTGCTATATTACTTTATTAGGACTTAAAATGTTTTATGACATCATAGTGACTTAAGGTTCTGCTACATTACTTTATTAGGACTGGACTTAAAATGTTTTATGACGTCATAGTGACTGAAGGCTCTGCTATATGACTTAATTAGGACTTAAAATGTTTTTTGACATCATAGTGACTTAAGGTTCTGCTATATGACTTAATTAGGACTTAAAATGTTTTTTGACATCATAGTGACTTAAGGTTCTGCTATATGACTTAATTAGGACTTAAAATGTTTTATGATGTCATAGTGACTTAAGGTTCTGCTATATGACTTAATTAGGACTTAAAATGTTTTATGATGTCATAGTGACTTAAGGTTCTGCTATATGACTTAATTAGGACTTAAAATGTTTTATGACGTCATAGTGACTTAAGGTTCTGCTATATGACTTAATTAGGACTTAAAATGTTTTATGATGTCATAGTGACTTAAGGTTCTGCTATATGGTTTAATTAGGACTTAAAAATGTTTTATGACGTCATAGTGACTTAAGGTTCTGGTATATGATTTAATTAGGACTTAAAAATGTTTTATGATGTCATAGTGACTTAAGGTTCTGCTATATGGTTTAATTAGGACTTAAAAATGTTTTATGACGTCATAGTGACTTAAGGTTCTGCTATATGACTTAATTAGGACTTAAAATGGTTTATGATGTCATAGTGACTTAAGGTTCTGCTATATGATTTAATTAGGACTTAAAATGTTTTATGATGTCATAGTGACTTAAGGTTCTGCTATATGATTTAATTAGGACTTAAAAATGTTTTATGACGTCATAGTGACTTAAGGTTCTGCTATATGATTTAATTAGGACTTAAAATGTTTTATGACGTCATAGTGACTTAAGGTTCTGCTATATGATTTAATTAGGACTTAAAATGTTTTATGACGTCATAGTGATTTAAGGTTCTGCTATATGACTTAATTAGGACTTAAAATGTTTTATGATGTCATAGTGACTTAAGGTTCTGCTATATGATTTAATTAGGACTTAAAAATGTTTTATGATGTCATAGTGACTTAAGGTTCTGCTATATGACTTAATTAGGACTTAAAAATGTTTTATGATGTCATAGTGACTTAAGGTTCTGCTATATGATTTAATTAGGACTTAAAAATGTTTTATGATGTCATAGTGACTTAAGGTTCTGCTATATGACTTAATTAGGACTTAAAAATGTTTTATGATGTCATAGTGACTTAAGGTTCTGCTATATGATTTAATTAGGACTTAAATGTTTTGTGACTTCATAGTGACTTAAGGACGGTTCTGCTATCTGACTTAATTAGGACATGTTATATGGCATCACAGAGCTTAAAAAAAGGGTTCAACGAGATATGAATATTAATAGTTCTATGGCATCTTGGAAACTTGAGGTTTTCTTGTGGCATCATGGTAGCTTTAAAATGCTCTATGACATCACTGGAGGATGCTTTCAAGTTCATATTACATCACTGAAATTTTTGCCCTTTAATGTGAGTGGGAAGAGTCTGTGATCCCCCGCAGGAATATGGAATAATCTAATAAGCAAAGCATTAAAAGGCCATTGCCAGAATAAAGCGTCTCCGTGGGGATGTTCTCGATGAAAGTGTGTCATGTTGTGGAGCAGATGTCTCCGCTGAGATCACACTCATCTGTGCTCAGAGACTCGCATCACACAATGTGTGTGTGTGTGTGTGTTTCTGGACCTGCTGTTGTGTTTATTTTATGACAGTGGCCTGCAGGTCAACCAGGACTACAAGCCAAGTAAGTCTGCACTAACAATGTTTCATTTTGCTTGAAACAAAACATTTTTTTATATTGTAAGTAGCTGGGATAGTAGCTTGGAACCCTAACCATATTTGCATAACGTCCTATGAATAGTACATCATGTTGTAACATTGAAAACATTTGGAAACTGCACAAAAAAAAGGTTCCC